GCACCCATCTCTTTAAATTGTTCCTTTCTGTTGTTTCTACTGCAGAAGGCAGAAAGCATGACGCGGGGATGTTAGCAGACTCTGGTCTACTTGCAGACCTACAAAGGAATGCATTCTCCTTAACTGGCCAGCCTCTTTGTCTGTATGGTGACCCGGCTTACCCATTAAGGATACATCTGCAGTGCCCTTTTAGAAATGCAGTACTAACACCTCAAATGCAGGAGTTTAATGCTGCCATGAGCGCTCTACGTATATCTGTTGAATGGCTGTTCGGAGATATTATTAATTATTTTAAGTTTCTTGATTTCAAAAATAATTTAAAAGTTGGCCTATCCTCAGTAGGAAAAATGTACCTTGTTGGTGCTATCATAAGAAATGCTCACACCTGCCTTTATCACAATCAGACTTCTGATTTCTTTTCTGTGGATCCACCAACACTTCAGGACTATTTTGTGTAGCTTGCATTATATTAACATCAGTAATGCACAAGTGTTAATATGTCCAAGAAATTTTCAGTGACTGGATTGTGTAGAAAATAAATATGACGAAGACCTTTGAAATGTCTGATAATTATCATGTAACATGCATTGTTTGTATTACATTTCTATCTTAAATAAACCTTGACCATATCCAGGTGTTTACTATGTTTGCTTGGGTATTACCTTGGCCATTGGGAAAAAAGCCTCTGAAAACCACTGCTAAGACCGTTGCCTTACATGTAGCTTTCACAGTTGCCACACCCCTCCCCCCTCCCCTCAAAGCTTTAAGCCAAGTGACATGGTTTCATCCCCGTTTTGTTATGGTACTAATGATGAGAATTTGATTGACTATATGATATCTTTCTTGATTGGCTCTATTATTCCAATGGCCTATACTTTTATTAAACAGTGATGCTATGAGATTCTCGTAACATCACTGTATAAAAAATAGGCCATGAGAATAATAGAGCCAATCAAGAAAGATATCAAATAGTCAATCAAATTCTCATCTTTAGTACCATAACAAAAAGTCAAACATCTGTCAATTTACACCTCCCTTAAGGAGACACTTACCCTTTGTGCAAGCCATGAAAGGGGTGCATTTTTAACCTCCCTTACATGGACACCTCTATTAAGTGGACCCTTTCTACAGGTCCCAAGGGTTTCTGCTCTTATTAGGGCTATATGCAATCAAAAATGGATTATAAAGTTGGCTTTTATTTTTCATCAATACAACAAACTAATATTGTCAACTGTAAAATTACCCTAGCAAATGGTCTGGCATGTACACATTTAATGTTAAATTAGTTCAAAGCTCCAAATTGCACCCAGTGCCTAACTATAAGGTCAGGACACACTAGGCAACAAATCATATGAAGCAAAATGTTGCTGTCCTTTCCCCCTATCGTATCACAGAGTCGTTGATTGCAAGGACATTTCACAAAGACTTGTTGTCTAGCATATCACGAAGTATATGATCTGGACAGTCAACATTGCGAAGTTTTCAAGATCAATACAAGAAGAGAAATCAACATAACTTGAACAAGAGACACTAAGCCTCAAATACATTAAACACAATTTCAGGTGAATAATTTTCACAATTTCAGGTGAATTATTCTGACACAGTGGTGGATCCAGGGGAGGGGCCCTGGGGGGAACCAGCCTCCCCCCTTATTTTTAGACCAAACTGAGGCCCAAAGGGGCAAAAAAAACTTTTCTTGAACCCCCCCATCTCAAGGTCTAGATCTGCCAGTGTGACACACGTGACATTAAACAATCATCTCAGAAATGACAGATAAACAGCACTAACAACAAATCCACACAATACATTGTGTGAAGGCTTATTTATGGTCTAACTTAGACACGAGAGCCATAATCAACTGAGTTTGCTGCTGCTGTTGTTGGAGAAGCATAGCTTGCATGTTATGCATTTGCTGCTGCTGTTGCTGTTGTTGTTGCCTCATCAATTCGAGAAAATCCTGGTGTCCTTTGCTCTCAGACTCTTGTTGTTTTACTTTCATATTGACCTCCTCCTTACGAGCAGCAACCATTGCCTCAGTTCTTTCTCTTAAGAACACTACTGCATCTCCTCCAGTTGCCCTCTTCTTCTTAGCTTTGATCTGAAGGTTGCTGTCTTGCCCTTTTCATTTCTGAGTTTCCCCCAGTCTCTCCAATGACTTTGTGCGAATATCTTCAGCCTGCTGTTGATTTTCTTTCCTCTTTAGGTTTTGATCTTGATTCTCCTTGTGCCGTTTATCCGATTCATCTTCCCTCTCGATCAAATCTTCCAGAGCAACTTCCACCTCTGACATATCAGTTTCAATTCCGGAAGCTTTCCTTTCATCTTTTAGCTTTCTTCTCAGCTTATTTGCTAACAGGTTGTATCGATCACGAACACCCCTTCTGTCTAAATCTGACTTGAATCTTACTTCATCAACTGCAATTCCAAACCTGTCCTCTTTGAATTGAGCTCTTCTTGTACTGAAAGGGATTGTGTATCAAAATTTCTCGACAGAGAATTACGTCGTGTCTGCTGACAGTCCAAAACATCATCTTTTCACTGCAGATGAATATTGAAACAAGCAATACAACAAAAAATTATTAAAAAGGGTTGTATTACCACAATCATGGAAAAAAATATTTTAGAACCTGAAGACTCCTAGCTGTCTAGAGGTAGATACACTAATTAATGAAATGAAGAATTAAGATAAGCTAAGTTTGTTTTTCTGTAGCTTCTCTATTGACATAACTGTTCTTTTGTTTCAGTTGCTTCATCTCTTCTTCTTTTTCTTTTATAAATATTTAGGAAATAACTACTATACTACGTATATATGTGGAACTATTTATATAATATATACAAGTGTGTGTGTGTATTTCTATAACAAATTTATTTATGTACATACTGGTTTGCCAGGATTACCTTCTTGCTATTTGTCGGCTAGTCTAATTTTAAACATAAGCTTATACGAAGATGCAAGAAAGTGTTGCTTAGAAGCATACACACACAACGCTTTCATCGCTGAGGGAAATCGCTGCTATCAAAGGAAATTAAAATTTTCAAAATGGAGAAAAATATGAAATACGAACATTCTGCAAGACCTACACGCTAAAAGTCGCAAGTTTGTACATAAGCTTATTTTTTTAACAACTTTAAGGTAACACCAAGCATCGAATTGATTTATTAACACATGAGCAGATTATTGGGTTTTACCTAGCTATAGTTTAATCAGGGCAGCTCAGGGCAAACATATTTCCACAGAATATCAGCTAACTTCATTCAGTACGAATTTTAAGTTTGTACTTACGCCGGTTTATCGCCTTCATGCTTTTTCGCGGGAAGGTTTGTCGACATCTTGAGCTTGTGAGCGGGTGTACTCAGGGGCACCCAACGGCAATTTTCGGGAAAATATCTGTTCGGAAGACGATTTGAGAACTAGAATTTTCGGAACATTTGTTGTAAAATTTCTTGCTTGCCTGCCTCTCCTAGGATTTTCGAACATCTACAAAATGGTATAATTACCCATTTTAAACGGATATTTACCCTAAAAAAGGCCACCTAGAATTTTCGGGAGCCTTTTCCTGGCTGAAATTTTCGAAAAGGTAAGTTTTGATCCCTATAATTTTCGAGTCACTAGACTTTCAGCTAGGAAATCCCAACAGATGAAAAGTTTTTAGGGGATAAAAATATGCCTATATCTACCGTTTAAATACTAAAATACGTTCAACAATGCTATGTTAAGTGGTTTTGAACTATATCCTCGTTGGGTGCCCCTGTGTACTGACAAAAGAAAGTAAAAAAATTGATTTATTTTTATCCCAGTTCCTAAATTCCCTTTTTTCTAACAAAATAGAAGTAAAAATGACTCATCTCGTATTTTTGTTTTGTTTTTACTGTCTCTTCGCCTCTACAGCCATTTGAGCCTTTTTATTCACGTTTAAGCTTTTAAGAGAGCGTCCATCTGAAAACCATGCAGAGTGGTCTACAGACCATCTCTCCGATTCCCTTCATATTTGGCACACTTATGCACCTTAATTAACTGACTTAGGATGTGGAACAGTTTAGCTCAAAATTCTATTGTTTTGGAGAAATGTCAATCAAACGGTTTAACGGTTAAATGGCCTAAGATTTCATCCAGAAATGACCTCTTGTTTGATCACCTCGTGCACGCAAAATAATCAATTAAATGAAATGATTTTTTTTGAAGGATTTCTTGCACCCTAAACATAAGAAAAATGGTCACTTAACTATTCAATTCTGTTTCGTCTTAGTAAGAGAAAAACTTAAATAAATCAAGTAAAACTGACACCAGTGAAGTATGGTCTCAAAAGCGACTCTTTAAAGAAATGCAGCGCTGTTTTAATAAAGTTTAAAGCCATCTTGAGTTAATCAAAGAAACATTCTTACCATATGTAGCAAAAAAAGTTTGTAAAGTTACTATTTATTACTGTTATTTGCATTCCGAAAGTGACCATTATTTTAACGCTAATGCAAATGAGGCCGATTATAAAATCTTGATTTAGCTGATATTTATCAACTTTATCCGACGGGTGACAGAAAAAATACTTTTATTGACATTGTTACCTTAAAATAATCCCGTGTCGCTTAAAACAAATTGTGTTTATGTAAAAATTCGAGTTAGTTCACCTTGCGATACAATGTAATTTTGACCAAAACACACCTAAACTGAGATTATGGCAACACTAACAAATGAATTGGATTTCTAAACACGAGCAGCTTACAGTTAAATCGAATAGGGCGATTTAGTGAATTTGTCTCTTACCTTCTTTTTTCAATATAAAACGCTCATGTTGTCGTCATAACCTCTAGCAATGAAACAGCAAAACAGACGTGATCAAAATAAAGATAAACGACAGGCCGTATAAGCTAACAGATTTGATCCGCGGAATCAACTTCAGTCTACACTTCTGCCTTTGTTTACCAGGTACTTAAATAAAAATGAGCATAAGTCTTCTTTTTGTCCTGAGTTGAAAGGAAACTATAGATTTTGTTCTGAAGAGGAGCTAGCAAAACGTTTGACCAGAACAACAGATGGAAATGATTGCGTGACGTTTGACGTGTGGTGACTGCAGGTGCAGATCACATGACATCAGATTTCACACTTTCGATCCTGATGGCTGAGTGTTCTTTTAAGCTTTATTCTAGTAAAGAATGCGGTGTGTCCAGACGATACTCTGCACAAACAGCCATTGTGCCATTAAAAACGTGCACAAAAGACGTTTTACCTCACCTGAGAGGTTGCTACAAAACAACGGCTAAAGGAGTAGATTTTGAGTGGAGACTCTGCCTCTACCGAGCAGGACTCTTCCAGGGTCCGTGCACACTTCGGCCAATCTAATTTTCCATTTTTCCAACAAAAACGGAAAAAGGAAATATTACTTATCCTTATCATATTTACATACTTTTAAGTACGGACAAAAATAGAAAAAAAGAAAATGGTCAGAAAAATCGATCATTTTTTCATTTTTCTAATTTTGAAGTCCGCTTCAAAAATACAAAAAATACTATAAACGGCTAAAAGCGATATTTTGCCATTTTTCATTTTCTTGCTATTGTTAGAAAATGAGAAAAATGAAATAATCTCTGATTCCTAACCCATTTTCTATTTTTCCGTTTTTCCCAAAAAATAGAACAGAAAAATGAAAAAATGATATCTATTTGCACCATTTTTTCATTTTTTCCATTTTGCTAAAAAAATGAAAAAATAGAAAAATGGCATAGACATCGTCCAATTTTCCATTATTCTATTTTCACATGAAAAATAGAAAAATGGCACAAGTATTTCGACGAAAATTTTCATTTTTTTCCATTTTAATCGATCGTAAATTTGAAAATTGAATTATGATATGCAATTTCTGACCATTTCTTTTAATTTCTGTTTGAATAAAAAAATGAACTACAAACGTACATACCGTCCAGTTTTTCATTATTCCAATGAAAAAAGGTAAATAAATTCGACCATTTTTTGACCCCTTGTACCTATTTTACAAGTTCCCAAAAGTTAATAACAAAAGAAACCGCGCAAAAATTACAAAAGAGCATTTAATGCAACACGTGACCCAGCTGGCATCTCTCTTTCCCGCCAAATTTCAGTCCGGTCATTTGGCAGTTGCCGTAACGAGAAGCCATGGATCTTGGGCCGTCAAAACAATTTGTCTTATGGAGAGGAGAGAAGAGGCTTGTAATGCAGGGGCCGATCCAGGATTTTTTTTAGGAGGGGGTGCACTCGTCTCTTGCTCTACTTCAACACCAATAAACCACTTTTTTTGCAGAATAACAGTATTAGAAAACCGCAGGTCATCTCAGGGGGGGCGCACCCCCTGCACCCTCCCCCTGGATCCGCCCCTGTAATGGGAGAGGATGATCTCCAGATAAGCAAAATTTCGTCCGTATGGTGAGTTCACATATTCCACTGCCATTTGTCAATGATGGTCTTCGTTGTGTTCCTTTATCGACCAGCTCCCCAACTTTTTACATGCATAGGGCTGCCCTTGAATGGTTTGTCTTTTTAATGAGCTTTGCTTGTATATATTATATGTGACTAACTGACTTCTCTAAAGAACTTACGTAGACCCAAGAGCCATATGGCTCTTGGTAGACCGTGTTAAGCTCTCGGCTAGCTACGTACAGAATGTACAATCATGATTGCTTCTCAAATTATTTTATTGCATATTTGAGCAGGGAATTTACTGAGTCAAATGGAAGCAACTCCGATAGAAAATCGATTAGAATAAGACTTATTCATACACATAGACTCATCCTTTATTTCCCTATAATAATTATTCTCAATTTTACAGCTAGCACAACAGAGCGTGCGAGTGCCTTTAGACTACTCAGTACTTTCCCACGCTTTTGTTAATGAACGAAATTTGCCAATACGTACTAGTACCATAGCTAGGAGAAGAGAAATTTACAAAGAATTGCAGTAAATATAAGCAAAAAAACACAAGCAAAAATGATAAAGCATCAAGCAATGAGATCTTAAATACATCTTTTTAGAAACGGACTAGCTTTTTTAACATCGGCATTATATGGGTTGCGGAATTTACTGCACGTGCACTTGACAATGAAGTATGTACCTCTGTCATGGAACGCGTCATGCCCATATTGTTTATTTTGGCTGAAGAAAAAAAAACACTTATAAACCTTTCAAACATTCAGCAAGTTTTATTTTAAAAGAGTTTGTAAGATAAGCGGCTGTACGCTGTGTAATCGATTGCAGACATGTAAGTGATATTTTTGAGGGTCTGTCCCCACCCCACCACCCCAGCTCGCACTTCCCCCTCCCAAGAAGGATATTTAAGCTGACATAAAGGATGATACATTTTGAATTATTTCCTTTGCAACACTTTTTGCCTTAAAAGAGTGTTGCTCATAAAATTGCACACAAAATTATTTTTGCCACAGTTTTTTTAAGGTAAACAACAAAACTCAATTACGTTTACTAATAGCTGGATTAGTAATGTCTTGTAACGAAACAGTTTTGATAGGAGTAGAGCTGAATTTGCCCGGGGCAAATTACCATTTTGGAAGGTGTCTCTCGCCTGTTTCCCTTGCCCAAGCCACCTTCCGGGTCTCGTATCCCATGGGTTGTGCACCAAAACCCAAGCCGGATAGTCCTCGCGCGCTTCCCATAAAGCGTTTGCAATGCAGGCTATGAAAACTATTTGGAATGTTGAAATTGCACCTTCAAGCAATTAAGTTGCTCGTGGCTTTTCCTTTTTTATACTGTAAATTACTTATTTCACCATTATTTTCAGATTGTTCCTGAAACTTTGTACCTTGAGGATGACTTTACCAGAATTGCTAGATTCCCTTGTGACATCACAGGAGCATTTGACGCTACATTTTGGCAGGACAAGCTTACACTCCAAGTTATGGGAGAAAGCTCTAATGTGCCCGGTCTTTGCAATGAAGTCCTGATTCCTTCACCGCAGCAGTTTGGCATCGGGCGTTCCACAGCAACCGCAACACAGGTTAAAGCTCACACTAGTGTCAGCAGCAAGTTGTCTTCATTTCAGGGAAAAAGGAAAAAACAAGGCATCACCGAGCTTTAAAAGAGTGGTCTTCTTAGCGCATTTTGAAGATAAAGAAATTGTGAAGACCCACACAGCTCATTTGAGGTTAGCTCCGGAAGAATGCAACGTCAACGACGTAGCAAAGTTAGTGAAAGAATATCTGAATATGGACGAGGATTTAGTGATCATGGACGTCCATGGCTTTGAAATAATGGACAGTGAGTCGACAAGGGGTAAGCTTTTTTTAACAGATAAGCCACTTGACGAGCTGTTTGCTGATTGGGACGCATAGAGATATGTATGTGGTTTCAGTTAATGACCTGATAACAGCCACTTATATCTAATTAGCACACTTGAAATTTATATTTTGGCTTTAACGTTTTTCTTTATTTAACTTCTCCCTTGATGTCCACACAGCCACCATCAGCCAAATGTGTTCCCATACAGTGTCACTAACTCACAAGATCTGATAAGCACTTCTACTCTTTTAGTTGCTTTACATTAATTTTCATTGCACGTTAAATTTGGGTTATATATTTAGGTAGCGACTTGCTGTAAAGTTTTTCTAATCTATATACATGTCTGCTCACAATTATATATTAAGAATTTAAGGATAATTTATCTACTGATCACTTCTGGCAGTTAAAGGGTTTAAGTCATAAGGTTTCGATCAGCTAATGAGATGCCAGATTATTTTTTTGGACTGACACACGATACCAAAGAAGCGTAACAAAGCGCTGTAAAAGTGAAACTACTGTATAGGGCAATTAGAAAAGTAAAAATGCTCATATCAATCGTTTGAAAGTGTATTTTTTTCCTTTTTTTCAAGGCGAGGATTTCTGGAATGTTCCAGCAAAAAAAATCTACGCCATTACCCTCTCTGATTACCAAAAGAAAAAAAAAAAGCGGATAGGAGCAGAGGGAAAAACAAAAGATATAAACCAGAGAGAGAGCCTTTGGATTTGAAGTGTGTCAAAGTAACAGCATACTGTCCACTAGCATTAAAGAAAATTTTAAGTGCTGTATCTGTTTTAAGATGGCACGCCCTATCACAGTCTCTGGCTGCTGTCAGCGACTGCTTGGTTGCACACCTTGTGTAGAGAGGTGTTATGGGTAGGATGGGCGTTGCCCAGCATGCAAAAGCGATGATGGAAGAGAAAAGTATTTCTCTCTAAAAGGAGTTGACGACTTCGCTGTTATCATCTCAAAGCTCGATGAGTCCATTTAATGAGCAAGACACCCTTCATTGGAAGAAGATATTTCATCATAGACATTTTTAGTTCAAATTTTAGACGTCACTACCTCCTATTTCACTTGATGTGGTTGAAATTCCTGCCTTAGCATAATTATTGTACATGTACAGAGCAATACCCATGTGTAACCAGTAGTCTGCAGTGTTCCACTTAAACTTGGTTGTCTCAGAAAGATTGTAATCAGACATAGGTCAATAGTTCATTTTTACTTAATGATATAAGGAAGGTTCCTATTTAATAACTAATTCTGAAGTGGAATAAACTTTTGTTGTTGATGATGTTTTTGACGTCGATTTCCACAAATTATTAACTAGAAGATATGACACTCTTTAAATTTGAACCGTGAAAAAAAAAACTTTTTTCAACACTAAAGTCAAAGATTTTCAGTTTATAATTTATAGATCACGTTTATATCGATTATTTTGGACCTCTATTCAATTCTTTATTCCAACGAACTTTCCAAAAGTATTGAAGAAACGATCTATAACTTTAAGCGCGAGCGAGATAATTTGTGAGCCGCAAAAAGTACAGTACAGCATCTTGGAAAGGGTTATAGTTCGTATTGGCAATTTCATTAAACGCTACTTTGAAACTCGGAAAGTATTTTGTGAACTCTCTTTCTCTGGCAAATGCTTTTGAAATATTGGCCGCCAAAGGATCCCCTCCAAAGAAGTGTTCTTGAGTCAAATCGCCGCGAAACATCTGCACAGCTGCTTCGACTGTTGGCACTACATTGCCGTCAACTGGAGCGGCCTTGTTGTTAGTACATCGTCGTTGTAGTGGAACACCTTTACCTGCGCAATTTTAAAGTAAGTTGGTGTCAGTTAAAGATCTCAGCGACTATTCTTCTGGACTAAACTGTCGACATACTTAGATATTAGCTATCCGCTTATAAGGGAAGTCTCGGCGGTTTGAGATCTGTAGACAATCGCATTCACATTTGTATTCTACTTTTTGATGTAGTATGACTAATCCGGAAGGGTTATCCTTATTTCATTTCAGAGAGAATTCCCCACGCGGGTTATAAAAATGTCCCGTGTATCAATGGGTTATCGCTTGCCAACTCACTTGCCAAGCGAACGAAATAGTCGAACGACTTAACAGCAATAGCTGAGCCGTACGCGAACGTGCGTTTCATCCAATGGAACATTATGATTTTAGTCTGTTTTTAATATTGCTATTTTTTTTTATTGCTATAGATTTTTTTTACAGTAGGACTCCTTACCTGGAATGGAGTGTGAATTCCATGAGTTGACCACGTAGCTCAGTCCTACTTCCACTACTTTCTTCGCCACCCAAGAGACACAGAACTTTGTTACTTCATCCTCTATATCAATGACACCATCGTTTTCCATTTGAACGAGTGCTCTCTTTATAGGATAGTTTGTGCGACAGTTAACCTCTACCCAGAGCCGTTCCACAGCATGGTTCTCTTATTAAGAATTATAATAGTAAAAGAAATACTTATCAATACTAGACTCGCCAAAGACTCCTGGGGGCCTGAGCACGAGGGTCAGGAGTCTCGGAAGTCCTCATACTCGGAGACCCAGGGGCAGATAAGGGGGCGAGGGAAAGTCTAAACGGGCGGAAAAATATATAGGGAACGAAGAAAAGTAAAGAACGGCGAGAAGAGCCCCTGGGGACAATGTCTTACCAGACCAGTTCCAAACGGTCGCCGCCGTCCTGGCTTCTGATTGGTGCCAGAAAACTTTGTGTTTTTCTGGCACCAATCAGAAGCCAGAACAGCGGCGACCGTTTGGAACTGGTCTGGTAAGACATTGTCCCCAGGGGCTCTTCTCGCCGTTCTTTACTTTTCTTCGTTCCATATATATTTTTCCGCCCGTTTAGACTTTCCTTCGACCCCTTTATCTGCCCCTTGGCCTCCGAGGATGGGAAGTCCTAGATTTTAGGGCTTTCCGGGTCATTTCTGATTTTCTGCAACGTTTCTGATAGCGTTCGCTTGCTCTTTCCGAAGTGTCAAAGCCTGTTAATTTAGGTGATTCAAAGCTATTAAAAGAGAATCCTCCAACTTACTTTTGAATAGGAAATAACCGGAATTCCTAAAATCTAGGACTTCAAATCCTGTGTCCCAGGTCCTCCTAGGCAAGAATTTGTCACGGAGGACTTGCAGCCTAAAGTTATTGTTGACGACGGGCTAGCACTGAAAACGTCAGGTTTCCAACCTGCTCTTAAGGAGTTTTATTTTCTTTAACACCTTGTTTAGAAAACCTGCGAAAATTGGGTTTTTCAGGTCCATGCCCACGGATCACGTTAGAAAACAACCGGTTCATTTCTCCCCTCCTTTATATTACCACGTACCTGCTTTGACTGTGTTTGTATGTACGGCTGTCTAGATGTATTATTCCGTAACTCCTTTAAGTGATCCTGAACCGTCAGCACTAAATAAAATTCCCTCCCATGGTCCACTCTCACTTGGTCAAACAAACCATGACGTAGTATGGTTTCCCTAATACTAGAACAAGTGGATGAAGTATCATTAAATTGTACCTTTTAATTCAAGTGCGAAGTTTTGAGGGTTTTTCGAACCTGCAAAATGTGCAAATAATATATATTTATGTCGGAGCTAACCTGAACACATCTCTGTAGATGGTGATATTATTTTTCAATGGCATTACCCATGTAGCAGTTATAAAGGAACTATAGCCATCTACTGCTATAACCTCTGTCACGCCATAACGAATAAGCTTTTCGTTTTGATCAAGATGGAGCTTGTGTCCAAAGTATTGGGCATAGTATGGAACAGGGTTTAAGTGGCGGGTAATCGATGTCTGTCGTTCATGGTGCTGGCGTGGATTAACGCGTTTAAGTGCCTGCCCAACTCTGTTTACTGCCAGTCGCAAGCCTGTCGAATGCTTGATGTGGCCAGTCATCATCTTTCTTCCGTATGTAGCACCAACCTTTACGATTAAAAACCTTTGTTTAAGTATAAAAAAATATATTGAATCGGCCATTTAGCCCGGGGGGCACTTTAGGAATTTCTGGGTGGGGATGTGCCGCTGGGGGCCTGGAACCCTTAACCTTTACCAGAGCTAGTTCAGTTGAATTTTGCTACCCTATACTAGAGTAAACTCCCCAAATCCCCCTATCCTAGAGTAGCTGTGTGCCTAGTCTAGATAAAATCTTCAATCAACTGATCAGTTTCCTGAAAAATGATACCCTATTCTAGAGCCAAACGCTCTGATTTATATACCCTATCCTAGAGTAAACTGCTTGAAAACCATACCCTTCACAGCGGCACATACCTATATAGCCCATATATGGCAGTACCCCCCCGGGCCATTTAGTCAATAAACCACTTGGCGTTTGTTGCGTGACATTGACGCAAAGAGAGACCAATACAGCCTTAACCGCTCTCGCCATTTTCAAGCAAAACGGAAATACGAGCTACCAATAAGTTAGCACAATCAAGAATCAAAGCTTACATTTCCCGTGCGAAAATGTATTCATGGTTGCAAGTCAATGCTTGGTCAAATAGGAGAGGCAACAAAAAAATCAAACAGCAAAGAAGACACTCCTTCACAAATAAGAAAGTCTTTAGTCAACATTTAAATGTAACGTTATTTTTGGTGTTCTAATAACGTATTTCCTCAAATAATAACCGTCCCATGATTAATCGCCTCCCTCGAATAATCGGCCCCTTTTTGTGTGAGGAAAAGAAATAATCGGCCTCGGCTATTATTCGAGGAAATACGGTATGCTAGGGCAGGGAGTTCCAGAACTGGGAGTAAAAAAGTAACGCATTCCTTGTTCATTTAGCGACGACCGTTGTGTGATGCCTCAAGTGACGCTACACAGGTGAACAAAACGACAAGTTCACAACTTTTAGCAAACCTTAAAACGTTTGCTACAAGGAAGGATATCGTATAGCTTACGAATCCAAAACTAAAAATGTTAAAAACATGTACCCTCACCTCAGCAGCTGCAGAAGCCACCACCACATCGACAGCTCCACGAGTTAAATGGGAATCATGACGTCGTATCCCATTCGTAGCACAGTACCGGCGGACACTTCTCTCGGATAGTCCTTGCACTCCAGGATGCTGTTGCCTTAAAATGTCACTTACTTCTCTATGTGTTTTTTCCTGCTCTTCAACAAGCTCTCTTACATAACGAACAGTTACGACCTGTTCAATGCCCGCCATCTTTTGAAGGTCCCGCCAAGAATGTAACGTATTCCCAGGCCCTTTGCCCCGACGCCAGGAAAATGTTTTGTCGAAACATTTGCTTCATAAATGTATTTGGTAAAATTACATCAAAAGTTGTCTTGTTATTTGCTGGCGATTGCAAAACAATCGTGAAAATAATATATATAAGACTTAAAGGACTGCTGTTAAAATTGTCGCTTTAAACAGTGCCCAATAGAAAAATAAATTTTTAAATAGATTTCATTTTTTGGGTATATTTAAGTTCAAAAAAATAATAAACGATAAAATATTTATCAACTTTTGCCAATTTTTCATTTTTCAATTTTTCATGTGGAAATAGAATAATGGAAAATTGGACGATATCTATGCCATTTTTCTATTTTTCCATTTTTTGAGCAAAATGGAAAAAATGAAAAAATGGTGCGAATAAATATCATTTTTTCATTTTTCTGTTTTTCTATTTTTTGGGAAAAACGGAAAAATAGAAAAATGATCTAGGAATGGGAGATTATTTTATTTTTCTCATTTTCTAACAATATCAAGAAAATAAAAAAATAGCAAAATATCGCTTTTAGCCGTTTACAGTATTTTTTGTATTTCTGACGCGGACTTCAAAATTGGGAAAATGAAAAAATGATCAATTTTCCTGACCATTTTCTTTTTTTCTATTTTTGTCTGTGCTTTAAAATATGTAAATATGATAAGGATAAGTAATATTTCCTTTTTCCGTTTTTGTTGGAAAAATGGAAAATTAGATTGGCCGAAGTGTGCACGGACCTTCCAGGAAGACGAAGATTGTTTAACTATTTGTCCCTTACACAGAGATGAGTTCGGATTAGGCTGGCGACCAAGCAAAGCACGCAAATATCCACTGCATGACAGCAAACAAAAACGGACCAGAGGAATTACTAAACGTTTATCGGAAGAAATATATCAGAAATGGAATGTGTTGTGTCAAATCGGACAAGGTTAGCTCATTTTTAGTTTATTTGACATTGTTTAATTTAAAGACTAAGTTCGTAAAAAATCTCACTTCCTTCTTCGGATCTTTTAGGTATCTGCATGAAATGTTTGGACATGCACTCGACGTTTGGACCATCTACGAGTTCTACATGTCAGGTAAGTACACATTACGTCATGATAAACCTTACGACAACTTGATCGTGGTTTTTCGTATATTTACATAAACTATTACAGCAGTAAATTCAGTAACAAAAAATGGTTTATTAGTTGGATTAAAAAAGGTTTCTATTAGAGAGCCATGCAGGTGTATCAGCTTTGGCCGCTTAGAATGTAAATCTCTTTCTTGTTCCACCACGCCCTTTTGCTTAACGGCGCAGGGGACAATGAAAACTCGTTTATGTAATTTTCCCGGTTGTTCCGGGAAAGAGGGTTACTCTTCCTGCCAAGTCAATTCAAGCGAACGTTGTTAAGGAAAAAAAAACAGACAAACCAAAAATAAGAAACGAGACACGAGCCAAAAAGAGCTTATACATCAGGTTGATTGTCTCCTCTTGACGGAATCGGCCCCACTAGGCGCGTAACTCTTCCTGCTTAGTCAAATTTTTGATTCTCATTTAAAGGGTTGGCCAAGTTTTGTAAGGAAACCTAGGAACAGTTGGCTCGCCCATGGTAGCTCGGCGTTTAAAACTTCTACCCAAGGAACGTTTTCACCATATAAACAGGGAACGTAAGTAAATTTATAACATAGGCAACAATCAATTTAATTTAATTGAAATTCGGGAAACTATAAGAAAAGAGTGCTCTTTGAACAAGATAAAATTTAGCTATAAAATAAACACTTATAAATCAATGCAAAGGGCTTGGCATATAAAAAGTGTAAGGGGCAAAAACAGAAGAAAGGTGACACTTTTTCTTTTTCTCTATACAAAACGAAATTGGTCAAGAATATAAGAAAGCCAGAAAGTGAAGTGTTTGAGGATGACATCGCTGAGGAACTTGAAACCAGTTTGTCCAGACCAAGACGTGTGCAGGTGGGTAGTGTCAGGTGCATGTACTATACTCTGTTATTTTAATACAGAAAGCCCCAAACAAGTGATGATGATCAAGTGATGCTCTCCCTGCATATGGAATTGACTTATTCATGAAAAATCTAAACCGAAATTCATCGTTAATGTTGCGGACACCTGCGCGTCACGACAAAGGGCTAAATTTTATTTCTTTTTTCAGGTTCAACCAGGAGAATACTATAGACTGGAGAGTCACCTTGATGATATCATGACTCCAATTCCTGCATTGATGCGATCGCTATGTCTAGATGAAGAAGAAGAAGAAGAATACCTTCCAACACCTACACCAAATCGCGGGCTGGAAGTTCTAAATCAACATATTGAAACATTAAGCGGTAGAAGAATTAGTCCGGTGCGCTTCCAACTCACGCAGACAATTCAAGATGTCGCCAGAAGCACGCGCTCCTACATAAGACGCAAGTCAAAAGAAGTAGTAGGAACAACACTGGAACGTATTGCACCAGGGCAGTCTAATGAACTTCTTGCATTGGTCGCAAATCCAACGCCAATAGAACCTGAACCAGTAAACAACATTATGGCGACCCTGCTTTCACTTTATGAAGGCGCGACATCTTGGTATACAAAAATGACAATCTTGTCTATTTTTGCGCAGCACTACACTAAACACAACTGAAAGACCTGGTTCCAGGCCTCACAACTTGGCGAATTGATCAAGCAAGAAAGCATGCTGTGGTTGTTGGTGCAGGCCATTCTGAAGTTAGAGAACCCGTGATGCGTGATCGTCTTGAAGGAGAGAAAGTCGACCACTTCCTAGATTTCATAAGTAGCCCTCACTACCTTCAGGATGTAGCCTATGGTACAAGGAAGATAAAAATGTCATCTGGAGAATGTTTGGAGATACTTGACTTAGTGAGTACTGTTATTAGTTCCAGAATGGTCAAACTACATCAGTTGTATTGCAGTGAAGTTGGCTTTCAACCTCTTGGTAGATCGACCCTATTTTCTATTCTTAAGGTAAAGAAAAAAATAACTAGAGTAGTCTGAACTATTAACTGTGATTTTGGTCAGAATTAACAAGAGTGTAAAATAGCGGCTGCAAGTACTCTAGACTCTTTGGTTGGGAGAAGCAGGATAAAAAGCCACGTTATGTAGTGAAGTGTTACCAAATGTTTTCTTTCACAGATATGTGCAGCTTCCCAGAAAAAGTCCCTTGCCGGCCTTGATAACGTCACAGGCGAAGGTGCATCAGCATTTGATACATTGGAAAAGGTTGTAGAAACTATGACATCTCTAGGTACGCTAAACCTACAACCTGTATGTTAGTAACCAACCCCACCGTCTATTCTGCTTTTATGCCCTATTTAATTTTTGATCGCTTGTAGATGACTTTGCTAGGTGAGATTTAGAGTATACGCCGATTTATTTGTACTGCTGTAGGTTCATCTCTCCAGTGGGCTGATAACGTTAGACAAAGGTTACCAGCAGCTAACGATACTTAAAAGCTGATTACAAACTTCAGGTGTTGGAGGAAAGTCCCTGTGCTGATCACTGTATACGATTCGCCCTATCATCCGATGATGTCCAGTACAAAACGGCCTGTGACCACGAACACACTATGCAGTGTGATCGATGTTTAGACTGTGCTAACGTCGCTCACGACATCATTTCTGGACTAGACAGTGGTGATATTTCGTTTAGGTAAAAAATACAGTTGCATACTATTAGACATATGCCAAATATTTATGACTTTAAGGAAAACGCGACCCGCGCTTTTTGTTGCAAACATTAAGGTTGGCACCCTTGTCCCTAGCGTCTGTTACACGGGAAAAAAGAAACAACGACATCAAGAACAAACAAACAAAAAAGTAGAAGTTTGTCGCTTACGGCAAGTGCCTTAACCTTTGTCTAAGGCTTTCTTCATTGTACGATATATTGTTAACAGCCAATGCACAAGAGAAGTGAAAAAGCGCGAACAATTACATTGTAGTATTCATTCCCTTTCCATTCTTTCCTGTACTCATCTCGCTTGGTGAAATCTCCAAAAGAGCATTTTCTGTAATGTTGTCATTATTTCAAAATCAATTTTTTTTTTCAGTTACCAGGAACAGAAAGAAGAGCTCAAATATGACATCGAGAAAGCCACTGAAAGAATTATGGACTGGAAATCGCACATAGTGAGAGCTACCAACCAAGAAAAAGCCAAAATAAACATTCTTGATAATCTTACTGAGCGGCAGGTGCTAGTGGTGATGGATTGGGCCATGAAATGGCTCCCAAGAAGCTACAGAGAAACCCAGGCAGAATGGTTTGGGAAAAAAGGAGTCAGTTGGCATGTGTCGCCCTTCATAACAAGACCTGATAACGAGGAAGCGGAGTTTGACGTAAACAAATTTGCTTTCTGATTCTAATTATCTTTAAACTTCAAAGCACGTCACTTGAATTGATTCGTCAGAAAAAAATCAGTTTCATTTCTTACGAACAAGCCATAAACGCACGTGTAATGCATTTTTTCTTTTCGTGCTAGCTGCTCTATAGAGGCATAGTTTTTGCGGAAGATGAACTGAAAGATATATATTTTTTGCCCCAGTCCGTTGGAGTGCATGTAAAACATACAGACATGTGCTCCGTATGTGGACGGAAACGCAGATCTAGTGAAGTGTTGTACGTGAGACAACGGGAATCAGTGGCAGATCTAGGGGGAGGCTGGGTCCCTGGGGAACTCGGGCAACCACCTTCTTCTTAGGTCAAACTGAGGCCGCAAGGCCGACATGATATATATGTTCTGGATAAGCAGAGACTCTCTGCTAAGTTGAAGGTGTGAATCCGCTAGTGAAAATACAGGTCCACTCAGGTTTAAGTTTGAACCGTGGGCGCATGTTTCCCCCACCCAGGCTTATAAATATACCGCTGGTTACATGTAACTTTTCATGGATTAGCACCCCGTTTAGAGGAGAGAGAGAGAGAGAGAATTTACGTCATTTCACTCGGAAATATGACAAGATCGGGGTTCCTGGGTCTTCTTGTTTTTTTTTTCTGAGTTGTCGTTACTCGAGGTGAGCCGGGAGAGCAATGAAGGCGTTTGTAATCGATAGGCTACAGTTAGCGTTACATTAAAGATTTTCAATGCTCATTTTGTTGCAATCTTTTTGTATTTTTTTCTTTACAAAGGTTCGGACTTTTGTTCACATTCTTGATAAAGGCAACCAAGATTGGTTTGCAGTCTTATCAATTCTGGAAGACCTTGTTCAGCAGCTTAAGCGGTTGTCCCCACTTCTGAAAGAACTATTTTTACGAAGTGACAACGCTGGCTGCTACCACAACGCTGCGTTACTTATCAGTGCGCCAACCATTACAAGAACAGGGGGATTGGCGCTTAAGAATTACAGCTTCAGTGAGGCGAACAGCGGGAAAGATGTCTGCGACAGAAAGATCGCACCCCTCAAAGCACACATCGGAAGATATCTTAATGAAGGTGATAAATAGCTTCAGCGCTATTAAAAATTAATAAGAGGCTGTAAAAATAGTAAAGTTATTTGCATTTCCGAAGACCACAAAAAGTCCGACGAGCAACAAAAAACGTTTTGCGTTTTAATTGGCCCGCCAACGGTTCACAGCACCCTTCTTTTCACAGTTTTTACGGATAATTCTGTCTTGTTTTAGGTCACGATGTTATAACAGCGCGTCAATTAAAGGAAGCTATTGACTCCTATGGGGGAATAAAGGGCTGTCGAGCATCAGTGATTGAATTAAACACAAGAAAGCAAACAACTAACGCGCCCAAGTTAAGTGGTATTAGCCAGTTAAACAACTTCGAATATACTGAAGATGGTGGAATGACTGTCTCGAAGGCGTTTAAAGTTGGAGAAGGTAGGAAAATGTCCAAACAAGAGCTTGCTAAGGTGGGCCAGCCACAGAGTGAGACAGGGGTGAAAGTAATGTTGCCTTTTTGTGATCCAGTTAACGCTACCGAGTTGTTAAAGAAAGCTTCGACGCGACCCCCTGGTGACCAAACCAAACAGACCGTCGTTTCTACTACAAATGACGAGGGCCTTCCTTGGTTCACTTGCCCCGAACAGGGCTGTATCAAGACGTTCAGAACAAATCAAACCCTTCAGAGACACTTGGACTTTCGCCGCCATGAGATTAAACTCCACGAAGAGTCACAATATGACCAGATCAGACACAAATGGGCTGAGCATTGCTTAAGTTTGAAACCACAAAATCCTTCCTGTGCCTTAACGGCCAGTTCGTCCTTTGGAGTAACGGAAGAAAATGTTTTGTCTATGGGGTGGGCACAGACTAAATCAAAGCGAAGAAGCAGGTTTTCTGTTAAAGTTAAGAACTATCTGCTCGAGCAGTTCATGATTGGTGAAGAAACTGGTCGGAAAGTCACCCCTGCCGAAGCTTCAGCACGAATGCTCACAGTACGTACCGAGGAGGGAGCTCGGATATTTGGCAAAGACGAGTGGCTCGCTCCGCAACAAGTTAATAGCTATTTTTCGAGGTTGGCTGCAATGAAAAAAATCGATCAGCAACTAGCAGCATTGGTTAGTCTCGAAGCAGAAGATGCTGAGGCAATAGTCGAGCGTTCAAAAAGATATCACCTGCGCAGAAGGGTTCTCGACCAGCTGACGCTCTAAATTCAGTCTACCAGTAACTGTTTGTATCTTACTACACTGTCCAACTTATGTGAAACTGATTATTTCTGTATTGTTAGAAAAATTAAATCAGACTTAAGCTTGTAAATAGGCGAATATTCGCTTTTGAAAGAGCGTAGGTTCATGTAGAAATTGCCCGCAAAAAAAGAGAGAGAGATGAGAGAAGAGGAGAGTGCACAACCCTTGAACCATTTTCACCGCAGGTTAATTGTTAATTAAGCTAAGACTTAAAAACGTTTCACAGAACTTGTGATAGCTTGACCTTGACAGCTCCCGTCATGAGATATGAAAGGACTGACTACTATTTGCTGTCCACAGGTGTTGAGAGTGGTATTCATGTACATCGATAGCAATGAATGGCAATATATCTCACTTTTCTAACATAACTGCTTTAGAATAGTAACGATCTACTCTCCCAACCCTAGATTAGCACAATACATAGAGTTGCGATATTATAATAATAATAACTTTAATTATACAGCGCTCATATCCTGAGCTCATGGTGCTGATTCTGATTCTGTTATTCATAACATAATCAGGGACGTTATTGAGATGAACAATAAACGGGTAAATGTTTGACAAACACGAAAAATGTTGCATAAAAGATAGTGTTGTGAGATTTACGTAAGCGGAATAATACGTTCATATGGACTACAATAAAAATTACAGTTTTAATCAAGCAGGAATTTTTATTGGGTGGCGGTGTGTCAGAATCCCACGCTATCATTAGCCTCCGATCATGATTACTGATCGCAGATTAGGCTGCCATCACTGTCTGGGAACCCATTCTACCATGCAGGCGGGTTCTGGCCGAGGAGCGACTGGGCACAAGTAGAACAAAATGGCGGCAAGTGCAATACCTATGTCTGGGTGTCTTCTGTCTCGTCTTGTGATGTCATCCCCTGTCCTTTTTCCGACCACTGTGCTGTCCTCTTTTGTGTTTCTGTTCCGGACGTTGTCCCGCCTGGGCCTGGCCTTTGGAAGCTTAATACATCTGTTTTAGAAGACGAGGGCTACGTCTCGGCTGTTACTAATTTCTGGTCCGGTTGGCGCAATATGAAGGGCCTCTACCCTTCGCTGGCGAAGTGGTGGGAGGAGGGCAAGTCCCGTGTCAAGGCCCTCACCATCCGTCACTGCTGCCAGAGATCTTCTGTCTCTTCCCAGAGGAGGGAGCTCTTGTCCAATCTTGCGGCTCACCTTAAGTCTAAGGTGGATGAAGGTTTTTTGTCAATCTTTGGGGTTTATCAATCTGTTTTGGGTGAGCTTGCGGCTCTTGATCTTGATGCTGCCAAGGGTGCTCAGATTCGTGCTCGTGCTCGCTGGGTTGAGGAGGGCGAGACGTCTTCAGCTTATTTTTTCCGTCTGGAAAAGAAGAGAGGGGCTGATAGATGGATCTCTGCGCTGAGAGATGAGGACGGTTCTATTGTGTCCTCCCCTGCTGACTTGTGTCTTTCCTTTTCGTCTTTCTATTCTTCTCTCTTTACGTCTTCTCCTACTGACCCCGTTGCTCAGCAAGAGTTGCTGAGTAATGTCTCTTCTACTTTGTCCCCAGGTCAGGCTTTGGAATGTGAGGGCTCCCTTACGGTGGATGAATGCCATAAGGCTCTTATTGGTATGGCCCATCGTAAGGCCCCCGGTCTGGATGGTTTTCCAATGGAGTTTTACGTGAAGTTTTGGAGTGTTTTGGGTCCTGACCTGGTGGATGTTCTTAACTCTTGCTATCGTTCTGGTTCTTTGTCTCTCTCTCAGCGCAGAGGTATCATTACTTTGACTTTTAAGAAGGGGGACCGCCTGGATGCTCGAAATTGGCGTCCAATTTCCCTTCTGAACGTGGATTATAAAATTGCTGCTCGTGCCATTGCCGGCCGTTTGCTGAAAGTCATTCATGCAGTTGTTGAGAAGGATCAGACGTGTGGGGTACCTGGTCGTTATATAGGCGAGAATGTTGCCTTTCTTCGAGACGTTGTCTCTTACGCTACGACTTTTGATTCTCCGGTTGCCATTCTCTCTCTCGACCAGGAGAAGGCCTTTGATAGAGTGGATTGGGGTTTTATGTTGTCTACTTTGCGCACTATGGGTTTTGGGGAATCTTTTGTAAACTGGGTTCGCCTGTTCTACACGAATGTTCAGAGTGCTGTCAGTGTTAATGGCTATCTGTCTTCTTTTTTTCCTCTGTCTCGTGGTGTTCGTCAGGGCTGTCCTCTGTCTCCTCTTCTCTACGTACTCGTGTCTGAAGTTCTCGCCGTGAACATTCGTGCCAATCCACTCATCAAAGGCTTATCTCTTCCTGGAGTATCTCAGCCTTTGTCGCCTATTTCTCAGTATGCTGACGATACGTCTCTGGTGGTCTGTTCTGACCCTGCTATTTGCGCCGTCTTCCAAACTTATGATCTTTACGAAAGAGGCTCGGGCTCAAAACTCAATATGTCCAAGTCAAAAGGTCTCTGGCTTGGCTCGTGGTCTGGGCGTCTCGATCCCCCAGTGAATCTTGACTGGACCTCCGTTAAAATCAAGGTCCTTGGCATTTATATTGGTCCTGGGGATCTTGCCAGCGATAATTGGTTGCCCAGGATTTCTGCAGTTGCAAATGTCTTATCCTCCTAGAAGCAGCGCCTCCTCTCTTTCCGAGGCAGGGCTCTTGTGATCAAGGCGCTAGCCTTGTCTCGGGTGTGGTACGTGGCCTCTCTTGTCCACATGCCCCCTTGGGTCTTGGGTGAACTGTGTAGGCTTGCCTTTGATTTTTTCTGGAAGGGCAAGAGAGACCTCGTTGCTCGTTCCGTTGTTGTTCAGGATTCTTCTGTTGGTGGTTTTTCTGTTGTGGACGTCAAGCTCAAAGTACAGTCTATGTTAGTGTTGTGGGTGAAGCGCTATGTGACTTCTTCTTCTAGTTGGTCTGCCTTCCTGTGGTTTTGGTTTCATTCTGTTTTTAACTCTTCCCCTGTTGATGTGTTTTCTCGCCCTTTTGCCTTTAGTCCTCGAGCCTTGCCTCCCTTTTACCAGTCTTTGCTTTTGGCTTGGCGTGCTGTAGACGGCTCTTTTTCGCCATCGCGGTCCGCCCTGGTGATGGCCTCGTCGGACCCTCACCAGCTTGCCCTGGCCTCCAGCATGTCCGCCAAATCTGCTTATTTGTATTTGTTGTCAACGATTTTTGCTCCGCCCCATTGTGAGGAGAAGTTTCTCCCTGTTTTTGGTACCCTCTACTGGTCCGCCACTTGGCGCCAGCTTCACTTCCTTGATCTTGATCGGCCTGTTGTCGATCTCTCTTGGCAGGTTGCACATGGGGTTCTTTATACTGTTGACCGCTTGATCTCGTTTGGGTATTCTCATGACCCTCATTGCTTTTGTGGCCCTGTTGATGAGACTGCCTCTCATCTGTTTTTTGGTTGTCCTCTCGCCTTTAGTGTACTGTCCTGGTTGCAGTCCCTCATGTTTCGTTTTTCTCCTCGGTGTCCCACTCTTTCTTGTCGTCATGCTCTGTTTGGTTTCTCTCCCTCTGAACTTTATGTTGTTCCTCGCGTTTTTGTCTATCTCCTCTGTTTGCTCAAGTACTTTGTTTGGCGAGCCCGGAACGACTTTCGTTTTCGTGATGTCCGTCCCGGCGCTCTCCCCATCATTGAGAATACCAAAGCGAGAGCTAAGTTTCATCTAGTTCTTTTTTTCAAGCGGTTCAAATCTTCGCGGCGTCGTCGCTATTTCCACCGCCAGTGGGGTGCGTGTGGCGTGGTTGGTTCTGTTGAGGATGGCGTTTTTAAGTTCTGTCTTTAGGCTTTTTTCTTGTGAGCGTGTGTCTTTGGTTTCTTGGTCGCCTTTATTGGTTGCACTGGGTTTCCTTTTGCTTGAGTCTTGTCTCCCTTAGTCGTCGGTGGCTAAGGGGTCCGTGTGGTTTTTGGTTTCTTGGTCGCCTTTATTGGTTGCACTGGGTCTCCTTTTGCTTGAGTGAGTGTGTCTTGTCTCCCTTAGTCGTCGGTGGCTAAGGGGACCTTTTGCTGGAGTGAGTGTGTCTTTGGTTTCTTGGTCGCCTTCATTGGTTGTACTGGGTCTCCTTCTTGCTTGAGTGGATGCGTCTCCGGGCGTTTCATGTCCGTTTTTAGTTTTGTTTTTTGGTTTCCTCCTTTTGGGGTGTTTATTGAGTGAGTGTGTTTTAGTTTTATTTACTGCCTTATGCAGTGCCCGCGTCTTTTAACTTGTTCTTTTGTCCTGTATCTGTCAGTGTTGTAGACGTCTTAGTCCTGTACTGTGTCTGTAGGGGTGGGGGTTCAATTCCCCCAGTCAGTTTCTGTGCTGGTGCACTGCCCCGTTTGTTTCGTTTGGTACTAGACTTTCAGTCTGGCGGCATTGCACTCACCCTACTGGGGGCCGGCCATTCGCCTCAAACACAAAAAAAACAATTGAAAAGGAAGACCGAACTATTGGAGAAAAGTTCAAACTTTACGATTTTAGGTAATCAGACTTACGAGTCTGGCTTGACTCCTCCGTCGATCAACGTCGGCAGGTATCTTGCACTTCAGTTTCCAAACTGCAGGTCGATGCAGGACTTCGAACAGAGGCAGTATGTAGGAATAATTTTTATATGAAGTTAATTTAGTAGTCAATGATTTTGTATGAAGTCCCTAGATCTGTCTTTGTCCTTTACTCACCTTTATTTTTTGCTATACTTGAAATGAAACCTGTTGTCTTCCGGTGTTATTCCCAACGCACACATAGTGAACTTTTGACCGTAAAAATTGTATGTGGCATTTAACTTTACACAGTTTTCTTCGCATCTTCGCTTTGTATAGTGGCAATAAAAATAGATAAGTGTTATTTCAACTTTATAAACAACGCCGCAATTTCAATATTCAACGATAATTCTATCACATGACCAGAAGGCGGAGATCCCATGAGATAGCACAGCGCTTGCGCAAGTCATTGCATGATTCGCGCTCAACGCGTAAAGTTCGTTCTTCAGATAACACCAGAATTTCTTTGGTTTTCTTACACGTATAGCTGGAGAGGCTGACGTAGTTGGTCTCAATTACACCCAGCTCAGGCGCTAACGTAGTTAGGGGCCAGTAATTAAGCGACCACGGCTCAAAATATGACACAAACCCCGGACGACGTTGGGATGAATATCACTGCCGAACAGGGTCAATCGTCGGCGAAGGCCTCCGCGAATACGGAGCTTGCGAACCTGTTTACGGCTGCTATGGCCCCTTTCGTGGGTCAGATGACCAAACTTACCGAAAATGTCAGTCTGCTGTTGAGCGGTCGCGATCCAGAGTCGGAGGAGGACGGTTAAACAGCCTCTGCCGAAGCAGTTGAAGACTCTGGTCATGAAGGAGTAGATATGGAAGCAAGTCTATCTGCCATCCTGGACTCTAAGACCACGGATAAAGCAGCGCCTAGGACAGGCAACGCTTTTTTACAAGAGCTCGCTCAAGATCTCTCGGTAAGAGAGCAAACCTCCCCGCCAATTCATGAAGGTCTGGCGGGCATTTTTAATGGGCTTTTGTCAGAAAAGATGCCCGATGACAAGATCAAGGCGAAGCTCGACAAATATACACGGCCCGAAAACATCAACGGCTTGATAACGCCGAAGGTTAACCCCCTAATTTGGAGCCAGCTGTCCGCCACAATGAAAGCACAAGACGCTAGATCTCAGAAAGGGCAAAATGCTCTCATCGGCTCCGTAATAGCCATGACCAAGGCTACCGATTTGGTTCTTGCAAAGTACAGCCAGGATAAAGATCTGACTACCCTGTTGACAGACGCTATTGCAATGGCGCTTCAATTCAACCACGAGGTTAACCACTCGCGGCGCGTGGCAATGAAGAAGGAATTGCATAAAGATTATGCAGCACTCTGCAACTCCTCCACTGTTGAAGGCTCTTCGGAGCTGTTGTTTGGCGACCTCTCCAAACTTGCTAAGGACATTTCCGAAGCCAACAAGTTAACTAAGGGATGGACCATTTTATTTTTGAGGGGGGGGGGGGTTGGGCAATTACCAAAAAAAAAATCCTGCATAGCAAAAGTCAAGAAAAAAAAAATCATGCACAGTGGGCCAGGGAAAAAAAAATTCGAGCAAGCCTTTCTACTGGTAGGATCCTGTTAGAGCAAATAAAAAGGTAATCTGTAATTTTTGTCAATTTTATTTCAACAGACCAAAAATGCTGTTAAACTGTTTGTAAAATAATTCACTTCTTTGTGTTTCATATCATAAATATCAAAAATACAACATTTCCATCCATCTCTTGTAGTAAAACATAAATTTGAACCATTTCACTGAATCTGGTATAATATAAAAATCATGTCTTAAAATATCATTTATATTTAAATATAACTTGTATTATAAAATGACTTTCAGCTATCTTCAACATATCTCATATATATTTATTAAATAACAAAAACTGTAATGTCTTATAGTGGCTGTTTCTGCCCCTTGTTCTGCCGCTTCTTCCACTTCTGCTCCTTGTTCTGTCACTTCTTCCACTTCTGCCCCTTGTTCTGCCGCTTCTTCCACTTCTGCCCCTTGTTCTGTCACTTCTTCTGCTTCTGCCCGTGCCCCTCCTTCTGCCATTGCTTCTGCTTCTGTCACTGTTTTTGCTTCTGCGCCTGCTTTACTCTTCTTTCTTTTTTTGTTTTTTTCATTTAATTTCTTGCGCTTCCTCAGCAGAGATACATGAGAAGCTGAAGAGCCAAACTTCTCTCTAGCTATCTGGACCATTTGGTTTGCCCTTTCCAAAATGGTGCCAATCTCTCCTTCAACACTTAGGATACTGGGCCTGAGCTTGGAATAAAATTCCCAAGTTTCAAGGAGGCCTATAACAGTGTGAACATAGAAATTAATAAACAGTACATGTAATTTTTAAGCAAATGAAATATCTTCGCAGTAATGTACCCAACTTAAAGCAGTTGAGAAAAGCAAGCCTGAAAAAAAATTATGGCTTGAACGGGATTCGAACCCATGACCTCTGCGATACCGGTGCAGTCGCTCTACCACTGAGCTATCAAGCCAAGGGGTTTGGCCATTTGTGAGTTCGTTATATACCCGTAGATGGAGAGGATATGAGATGTACAGCATTTGAATATGACCAGAGCAGAGTGTGACAAAAAAGGATACACAAAAGAGAAGAAGATACAAGACATAAAAGCCAATTTCTTTGGCAGACAGCTTAACAGCTCATCCAAGAAACAAAACAATGGTCCAACTTTAATCTCATTACAAGGTACCACGCATAGTCACCCATCTTCAAAAATCACAAGTCAGCCTCCTTCTGCAAATTCCTCGACACTAAATGTTCCACCTTGGGGTGGCACCCTAAATAATACTGCTTACATGGTCACACAATCATTAACAAACACTTGCCCCATTGATAATTATTTGACTATATTCTATGTGCTATTAACTGACCACAAGAAGTTACATCAAGAACTTGTGAAGTCAACAGAGATTTTTGCTGGAACCCTCATTCACATCAAAAATTTATTTGACACCAGAATGTTTCCTGAAGCAAAACTTGAATGGCTACATTTGTTTCCAGCAAGATTTGACCTCACAGCACCGATCATTGATTTGTGGGGAAATGAGGATGACCTCTTTCTCTCAAGGCTTCAGCCTATCTTGCGAGCAACACATACTGGAACCTGTTCTTCGCCTGCATGCCCAGCCCAACAGGTGGATTATGTCTCCCACAACGTTATGTTATGGTACTTGCCTGCAACATTTTATGCATTTATGCATGGCTTTTAAATGATATACCCTGCCATGGAAAGTACAACCAGTCAGAATATTAAAGCATATATTTGTATGTTGCTATTAAAATGTTGCCTGTATGTCTGTGTGTTGTATGTTATCTTTTGTTTTAATTTTATGTATGTCTGTATGTATGCACAAGTACATGCATGTCTTCTCATATATAAACCCTATTAAAATAATGTATTTAATGTGTTATTTTCAAGTGAGGTTGGCATACCACCTCCAGGATTTCTGCAGATGAGTCTTGACGAGTGGATGTCAACAGATCGTGTGAAAACACTGTGCGGTTCCACTCTTCTGGGTCCACTTACAGGTGGTAGCCCCCACTTTTTTGGGACAGTTCTTAGTCAGTGCCCTACTTCTGGTCAATTTGTGTAAGTTATACACATTATTGTTAATTTAAAACAAATAACATTTAACTGAATTTTTGCTTCAAATCAAATTAGAAGCATTGTCACATCAGCATATAGACCATGTAGCTGAAGCTCTTGAGTAGGGTGCTGATGTAAACGTTCATTTCCATGTTTAAATTTGTCCTATTTATAAATATCCTTTGAAATCATTAAATGTATTTATTGTAATAGGATTATATGATTAATTGTACAAGTAGTGTTCATTCCTGTAACCAAGTTATTGGTTTTCCATGTAGGCAACAACTCCAAGCATATTGTGGTGGACAACGGTCTTACCAAAGGCGGACATTTGTACGTGGAAGTCCTCCATTTATCCCCCTTGTCTTGGATCACTTTGCCACAAAGGAGATTCTTGCAGATATTTCTCAGTTACCCCCAGATATCAAGCTTGAAGGACACAGGTATTAAAGCAGTTAGGGTTCACCACTCTATGTGTGTGTTGATACAGTAACAGTTTTAAAATGTGCAAAGAGCAAATCATATGTTAAAATGTTCATCAGTGCAAAGAGTGAATCATACCACTCTCAGTGAAATTTATGAGGTTGCGATTTCTCAGAAGAATTTTAATTTATAATGACAGAAGATGGTGTGCTATAAACTGTGTGAAATGTACATATCTTATTCTTGTTTAAAGGGTGCTACATTTTATAGTGGAAATCACTATAGAGGTGTTGTAAAGAGGGGAGGCAACTGGTTCCACTATGATGGTCTATGGGAGAGGCAACAGCCAGGAAGTGGATTGAGACTGGGGGGCACAGCTACTCCACATGGCTTTATGCTGTCAAGCTGCATTTATCTCAAGGCTTTGTTACTGTAAGAGGGTGGGAAGTATTAAAATTTGCTAGGTGTTTTCTTAAGACAACATTTGTGTTTTAGATAAGATATTCAATACTAATTTCCTGGCATCGGATAAAAAGATCCAGGCATTTTTACAACATTTGTAATTCAGCTGAACAGAATTCCTTTATATTTATTTTTGTAACCCAACATGTAACACTGAATAGACTAAATGCAGCTTGACAGTATCGGCCTGGAGAGAAAGCACTGCTTGAGGTACATGTACCATCTTGTATAGACATACCCTATGGAATGCTCATTTTCGGTGATACTAAATATGAAGACTAAAAAAAAATGGAAAAAAAAAATTCGTGCACAACCTTTAGGTACTAAAAAAAATTCGTGCACAGCCCAAAGGCGAAAAAAAAAAAAATTCTTACCAAGCAAAAATTGCCCAACCCCCCCTCAAAAATAAAATGGTCCATCCCTAAGAAGGTTCGCCCGTCGCATTCCACGAATTCCCGCGGTGACAAGTACGGGGGACGCTCAAGTTATGGTTCGAGCCAAGGAAACAGAAGATTTCACCCCTACTCAAAAAGGAAGGCCTATAATTTTTTAGGCAACAGCTGCTTCTCCAAACAAAGAAAGAAAAAGGACGGAGAGACGAGTCAGCGGCAATGAAAATGCCAGGGGTATGTGATGAAAACATGACTCTCCCTAAAGGCCTCGAGCCCAGTATACTAAGTACACTAAAATTACAAACTAAATTTCAAGCAGGACAGCTTCGAAATTTCTTACCTCAATGGAAAACTGTAACAACCGATCCCACTATACTTCAATTTGTTTCCGGGGTCAAAATAGAATTTCAAAACAATTCTCTGCCCACGCAACAACATAAGAGACCCAGTGTTTTTAACACTAAACAGCATGCTATTGTTAAAGCGGAAATCGATAAACTGCTCACTAAAGGTGTTATTATACCCGCGGCACAGGAAACGGGGGAGTTTATCTCTACCATATTCCTTAGACCGAAAAAGGATGGCACGCACCGCACCATTCTCAATCTTAAAGAGTTTAACGAATTCGTAGCTTATCATCATTTTAAGATGGATACCCTAGAGGCGGCCATCAGTATGATGAAACCAGGCTGCTTTATGGCATCAGTTGATCTCAAGGATGCTTATTACACCGTTCCCATTCACCCCTCTCACCAGAAATATCTCAAGTTTTGTTTCGACGGCGCTTTCTATCAATACACTTGCCTACCTAACGGCCTCGCCAGTGCGCCTCGTATTTTCACAAAATTACTCAAACCTGTCTATGCTACACTTCACAGCATGGGTCACTTAAATTCAGGCTACATTGATGATTCTTATCTCCAAGGGGATACTGTTGCGGACTGTCAACAAAACGTTGGAGACACTGTCACGTTATTTACCAGCCTAGGGTTTTTCATCCATCCAGAAAAGTCGGTTTTCGTTCCTACCCAGCGGTTGACGTTCTTAGGGTTTGTTCTGGATTCGATTAGGATGACAGTTACGCCTACCGAAGCAAAAATGCAGAAAATCAAATCCAGTTGCGACACTCTCCTGAAGACCCCCATGCCCACTATAAAACAAGTCGCAGAGGTTATCGGCATTTTGGTGTCCAATTTCCCCGGAGCTCAATACAGGCCACTTTATTACAGAAACGTGGAACGTGACAAATATCTCGCCCTCGTGCTTAACAAAGGAAATTATGAAGGGAAATTATGGCTATGCCCCATGGCGCTACAAGAAATCCGCTGGTGGCTAAATAATGCTATTACCTTACACAGAGATATTCAACATCCCCGCCCCAGCGTGACAATTCAATCGGATGCGTCCAAATTGGGGTGGGGAGCGGTTTTTGGGGCACAGAAAACAGGGGGAAGGTGGACCCTGCGGAAACCGAATCTCACATCAATGTATTGGAATTGCTTGCGGCTTTCTTTGCCCTAAAATGTTATTGCAGCAAAATGGGGAACTGTCACATACAGCTTCAGATCGACAATACCACGGCCATTGCGTACATTAACAACATGGGAGGCTCTAAATCAAAAGAACTTGATCAACTGGCTTTTCAAATTTGGGAATGGTGTATAACTAGGCACATTTGGCTCTCCGCTGTTCATATTGCTGGTCGGCTGAATACCTGTGCTGATGAAAAATCTCGCGTATTTTCGGACAACCATGAGTGGATGTTAAACAAACAGTTGTTTGACGACATCCTATCACACCACCCTGGGCTGGATTGTGATTTTTTTGCCAGCAGATTAAATTTTCAGATCAGCACTTACTGCTCGTGACGCGGAGATCCACACAGTGCCCACATCGATGCTTTTACTATGAACTGGAGTGGTTACAAATTTTATGCATTTCCACCTTTCAGCCTCCTCCCCAAATGTTTACCGAAAATCAGACAAGACAGAGCGCACGGAATACTCATTGCTCCTCTTTGGCCAACACAGCCGTGGTTCCCTCTCCTGCTACAATACCTGTGCGATCAACCTTGGATTCTGCTTCCACGGCCGGACCTTCTGAAACTCCCCTCACACAGTCGACCCCACCCACTGCACAAGAAACTCCACCTAATGGTATATCCTGTGTCAGGGGGGCCTTCAGCCGCTACAACTTTTCAGAAGAAGTTACCGATGTGCTCATGGCCTCTTGGAGGTCAGGCACGCAGAAACAGTACCAAACCTATCTTAACAAATGGATGGCGTTTTGCGGTGAGAGGAAGATTGCTTACTATTCACCACCACTAAATGAAGCCCTTCAATTTCTTGTACGACTATTTAATCAAGGACTGAGTTATTCCGTGCTAAACACTGCCCGCTCTGCTCTTTCTGCAATTATTATAACGGAAGGTGGGGAGTCTTTCGGTACTAATTGCGTTGTAACTCGATTTATGAAAGGAGTCTTTGAATCACGGCGACCAAAACCTAAGTAAACAAAAATTTGGGATGTCGGAGTAGTTTTGAAACATTTGTCTACGTTATACCCGTATGACAAATTGGCATTGAAAGATTTGACGTATAAAGTTCTCATGTTAATCTTACTAGTCTCGAGTCAACGAGGACAAACTGTACACTCTTTAGACCTTAAGCACCTTTGTGTGGAAGAGGACAAATACATATTTGACATTGATGAACACATGAAGACCAGTAGTCCAAGGAACCCTAATACAAGAATCGAAATAGCTAGATATGAGCCGGATGTTTCCATTTGTCCTTTCACTTGCCTTAAGGCGTATATTAACAGCACAAAAGTTTTGCGTAAAGATGAAACGCAATTATTTGTTAGTTATGTTAGGCCACATAAACCTGTCTCCAGGGACACAATTTCCAGGTGGACAAAGGAAACCCTCCACCTTTGTGCGGTGGATACCAAAGTGTTTTCCGCCCATAGCACTAGGTCGGCCTCTGTTTCAAAAGCCAGTGCCAAAGATGTCCCTGTTCACGAGATCATGGCTAGGGCTGGCCGGAAATCCGCAGAGACTTTTCATAAATATTATAATAAGCCTGTTGTTCAAGGAAACAGTGTGGCCTCTGCTGTTCTGGGTGCTAGCCCACACTAGGCCTTTCGTCATGTCTATTTTGGACCTGGTCGGGATTAGCAAACTAGCGAGTATATATATGGAAAAAAAAAAACACTGTTGTATTATATTGTGTTTATCATTGGGGTTGCTTCTGCCAGAGGCTACTTTGCATATGGCCTTGGGTTATCTGTACCTCTCGTTGGGCCTATCGCATGGGCGCATCAACCCTTTGAAGTCTCATGGGATCTCCGCGTTCTGGTCATGTGATAGAATTGGGAAATTAAACGAGACTTACCTGTAAGTTGAAGTTTGATTGAGATTCTATCACATGACAACAGAAGGCGAGAGATCACATGAGATAGCACAGCGCTTGCGCAAGTCATTCTTAAAAGACACGTACTGGGCACGTCAACCTAGTATGAAATGGCATACCCGAAAGTACAGCCAAACAGGGTGGGTATGATAGCGGAGGGCATGTGATCTCTCGCCTTCTGTTGTCATGTGATAGAATCTCAATCAAACTTCAACTTACAGGTAAGTCTCGTTTAATTTCCCAATTTTACCACAAAATCCTTACTGTCACACGTAGTCCAAAAAGGCTAATTTTAAAATTATGTTTACTACTAAAATACAAAACGCCTGAGCTTAATTATACATTTACGGGAATAAAAAGTTATTACTATATCTAACATGATGATTTGATCGGGAAATGTTCAATACATTAGTAGAAACTTTGGTGTGAAATTGGGTAAAAAATTTAACCCTTTTTGAATAATACCTGTCGTGGATCTTTTCGATCGCAATATCTTCTACAAGTTAAAGAATTTTGCAACAATATTGCACACATGCTTTTATCACCTCAATATGTAAACCTACCTAGAATATAAACAAAATCCGCTATGTTCACTGTAGACGGATTTTTTTATAATGCATGGTTTTCACATGGACTCTCTCTTAAGTTGTACTATTCCTGTCATATGCCATTCTGCAAACTCATTCCACTTTTTATCCTCACCGCAAAAAAAAGCCAACTTATACAGGCTAGTTTTTATTACCATCCAGTTGTGCAGACGGATGCGGAGGTTATAAGGAAAGAGGTTACAAGAAAGAAAAAACAGTTTGTAATAGGTCAAGTTTGCTTCAGTCAAATTTAACTTATTTTTGCCCGGGGTTAAGTGCAGTCTCAGTTTTTTAGTGTCTATAAGTTGAATAACTTTCCTGGTAATTGCTCTTCTCTGGCTGTCTTCGAAACAATTTCAAGTGGAATGAGATGTTCATTGCTGGCTGGTTCTGGCAGCCAGGCCAGTCAGCTAGTCCATTCGATGCAAAAAGAAAGTACGGGAAAAAGAACTTGGTCATTGCCTTTGTTTTTCTCTTGTAAAACTAACTGCCCTGCGAGATAAGCATGCTAAACATCGGTCAAAATCGGACTTCGATCATCGAAAACCTGGAAATTAAAGGTGAACAAAGGATTGGAAGCAATCAAATTTCACTTGATAGCGATTTTGTGACAATGTTTCTGTTTGTTACAATTTGGTTAAGTTGTTAAGGGCCAACTGGTCACGTGACACTTTTCAACCAATGAGAAGGCGCGGTTGTGTTTATCAACAAACAACTCAAAACATCGCCCTAGTGATCAAAGATTTTCAAAACAGCGGACGGAGTCGGACAGAATTAAAGATGAGCTTACGGTACTCGTCTAGGTTTCACATTTAATATTTCAAAGAAGACAATAAGAGCATTATTCATTGCAAGAAATCATTGGGGTGTTCGAACTGATCCGGACCGATGGCAGAGGTCGTGGCTTCACTGGTATGGCTTGCAAGAGTTTTGATAGAAGCAACCTGGTCCCGTGTAAAAAGAAGCTAAAAATAGCCTTAGAGAGAGTGTGAAAATTTTTTGAGATCGTACAAAACAGGATTGGTACTACCTAGTAACTTCTACAGGACAAGAATCAAAGAACCAGTCAACATAACAAGAATAAAAAGTAGTTCAAATTTATTACTTTTTCTCGTTTGTTTTTTTTTGTGTTGTTTCGTGTTGACTTAACGCATCTGGTGCTTTCTTTGCTTACTGTAGTACCAGCAATTTTATTCCAGATAATCAGTGCATGCTCAATGAGTAGCGAAATACATCATTTACACTTGAAATTTGCCTTCTTTCTTTGATTGTTTTTTAACGGTGGATGAACATTTGGAGAATCCAACAACATTTGGTAAAAATCTTTCCAGATTTGGTGAATTTCAGAAACAAAGCGGTTAGTATCTACCTTGCGCTTATGATCTTCAATTTCATCCCCGCAAATTCGGCAAAGTGAGGCGAGATGTTGGAAATGAATATCCTTAAGACTAATAAAGTTGTTTTGGCCTTGAAAAGAAAAAAGGCAAAGGTTCGTAAAATTGCGAAAAAAAGTGATAACACGGCTCTGTGAGAAACCCGGGAGTGGAAACGTACATGTTTTGGACCACGGCATTGAAAAATTGTCTACCATCCCCACATCCAACATGATAAACGTTAATCGATATGACAATCGAGGAAAAATATCTAGAACTTCGTAAAAAATCTGTGAATCGAAAAAAAAATAGATCCTTGTTCACAGGGGCGTAGCCAGGGGAGGGTTCCAGGGGTTCCGGACCCCCCCCCCCTCTCGCGTCAAGGAACCCCCCTCTCCTATTTTTAACAGTGATTTTATCCCAGCAAGAGTGCAATGGACTCTTGATTCCTGAAATTCTTTGTTTTGTTCTATGCTTACAATAGGTACGGTGAACGTCATTTTAGTATCTATTTGCGTTTCACTTGCATTTTCGGAGACATGAGCAGAGTTGGGATTCCTGTGTAACAAGATGCAAGTGTGTGCACAGCAGAAATGCCCGCGAAATTAGTAGACGATCCAGAACCGAAGAGACAGAACGACGACAAAACAGTGAAAGAGGAAGCGTCGAACCAGTAGAGGAAACAGGACCTCCATCCAAGTCAAAGGAGCAAAAGTAAAATAGTGTTCTAAATTGTGAAGGAAAAATTTTAGAGTTAAGATCTGGCATTGGCTTCTCGTTCGGCGTTGGCATTTAACACAGGAAAAAATAACCGATTCCCATTTTTGGATATTTTAGGGAATTTAATGAATACCCACAAAAATCCCAAATTTGGAGGAGCGAGACAAGTCCCAATCAGGGAACTTGGTTGGGAATTCCCCGGTTGGGACTCGTCTCACTTTGCCAAATTTGGGATTTTTATGGGTATTCTTTAAATACCCTAAAATATCCAAAAATGGGAATCCGTTATTTTTTCCTGTGTTTGCTTGGTAACAGTACGACAGTTCAACTGTTTGGTTGTTACAATTATCAACACATTGCATCTGGGAAAGAAATACTCTACACTTTTTGAGAAATACAGGAATATTTCTATGTCTTATAAATCATGATTTCTGTGTTTTATCGTTTAGCAAATCTAATAATTAGTTCACTAGTAATATTTATTGAGACTTGTATTTCAAAACCTTTTATGCTAATTAGATCGTTACGCCGCGAGACAGAAGTGTAAATGGAGTTTGTCGTGTGGGAAGCCATTTGACTGCACCCGCCACTTGGCGAAAAAACGTCACGTGCCTATCTGTCAATCGAATCCAGAAGAAAACACAAATTGTTTTACATAATTTTTAATAGCGATTTAAAGAATTCTATAAAATTCGCTATTTTCTTCTTTTTTGCAATTTTGATAAATCCGCTATAATTTGAAAACTCTTTGTCGTTGTAGTTCATCGAATGAAGTAGTCATTGCGGCAGCGTCGCTCGATAGAGAAGAACTTCCTGCAGTCAATTCACAAGGGGCGGAGATAGTAACTGCAGGTATGTCTCATTTTGACTTGAAAAGTGCGCTCACGGATAGAACTAGTTATAGTAAGCTGCACTCTATGGCGTACTATATGCCTGACGCTGGTCCATATGTTAGGAAATGATTTGATATCTGCAAGCTTTTAGCGTAGTTGAAATATGAAGGTATTATCGCTTTGAAATTATTGCGTTTTTGTAGGAGATGTATTGATGGAGACGAATGAGGCAGATTGCTGGAAAAACGCGGACACGGCCAAAATTGTGAAGGATCGACCCTCTTTGAGTCGCCAACATAAGTTTACTTTATTGAAGAGTCATTTTAGACTAGGTGATAACTATGTATTCCCAAAGACCAAACAAAACAACAAGACGAGGTCGTTCCAGGCGTCTTGGCTAAAGACTTACCCTTGGCTGGTGTACGGCGAGTCTGAAGATGGTGGATATTTTTAAGTGTTGTGTTTTGTTTGCGCACTTAGCGTCAAATATCACGACACGCGCTCTTGTGAAGTTACCAATGAAGAACTGGAACAAAGCGACGGATATCCTCAAGGACCACCAAAAAAAGGAATACCACATAACTGCATCATTAAGATATGGAAGGCCAAATGGTGCAAAATTCAAGAATTCAAATTTTTATCACATTCAAGGATAACGATTACATTCAACGATCACATTCGCATTCAAGACATGAAAATTAATCAAATTCAACAGGCATCTCGATCATATTCAAGGTCATACATCACATTCAACATGAACATTCCAGACATTCACATTCACCACATCGAAAATCAATCAATTTCAACAAGCATCTCGATCACATTTAAAGTCACGCATTATATTCAACAAACTATGGAAGCCAAATGCTGCATAATTTAAGAATTCAAATTTGATCACATTCAACAATCACCTTAAAAGTCAACAAATCCCAATATGCTTCACGCTACTGACTATGTAGCCCCGGGTGCATGCTGGGAGATATTATTTGCGAGTGAACTCAAAATGGCGGGAGTGCGGGATAGAGTGTCCATTCGCAACGAGGTTCGCGCTTGCATTCGTGAGGAACTAAACAATTCTCAAGGAACTCAGACACTTGTTAACAGAACACGCAACTTAATCCGCGAATCAGCATCTTTTGCCCCGCGGAACTTGTCCGATAGTGGAAGTGTTCAACCTTTGCCTCAGAATCAAACTTCCAAGTCGAAGCGACCCTTGCCAGGTCATCCCTTAAGGTTTGGATCAAAAAAATCGAAGACGGCGACTCCCGAATCTATTCCAAAAAGTGTATACTTATTGGATGAGCCAGACGTTGAAGATGACGAGGAATACAGCTTGACGGAGTCGATGATTATCTTGAAGGGAGAGTGCGATCTTTATTGCGATGCCGATGAAAATGGCATACGATCAGAATTGGTTAACTTGTTTAAAACAAAACTTCCATTCATAACAAATGGCGATTTCGACTTTGTCAGACGTGATAGGAATATTATCTCTAGTCCTGTAGTAAAGAAGGAACATGTGTGGGATTTCAAACATGTAAGACATCTTTGCGGAGCTGGAGGCTTGTATATCAGACTCAATGTATCCAAAGACACACTAGTCGAGGATGAGGAAGGTAGTATCACCGAGACACCAGCTCCTGCTCCAAGTAAAAGTTTGCCTTCGATCAGTGCTGAGGCTAAACCTAGTGGTTTACATGCTTTTAGTGGCTCTCCCAGAACACTACATCAGATGCTGGCCTTAGTACTGTTTGTAGTGATGACGACGAGAATGAATTAAGACCTTCAGGGGCAATCAATTCATCACTTATAGATCAACAGAAAGTGGATAACCTTGCTTCAATCTTTCCTAGGATTCCAAGAGATGTCATTGAAAGTGCTGTGATGACCTGTGGCAGTTTGAACTCTGCTGTAAATGTTCTTTTACAGTACAATACAGTAGGCAATGACCCTGTTGCTATTATTGATGACGACCACACTCCAGAGATCTCAAGTGGACAAGAAACTCTTCCTCATATGCTGCAACGTTTAAGGTCAAAGATGCAGCCAAGGGGGACTCGTGAAAAGATCAAGGTTGATCAAGATGATCTAGTGATGGATGTTTATAGCTTCTATAAAAGTCCTGACTTTGACCCTACTATTCCTGTTTTTGTGTTACTAAAGGGTCAGCCAGCTATAGACAGTGGTGGAGTATTACGGCAGGTATTCATCTAGGAAGGATCGAAGCGACTCTGCTAGCAGGGTAGAGTTATCGTAGATTAACATCTACTTTCCAATAGACATACAATTATTTTTTTCACCCAAACATGGCACAAAATTGAATTTTCTTATTGGAATCCTATTTCAAACAACATTTTCAGGAATTTTTTACACTGTCAAATATCTCAAACTTAGTTTTCCAAAAATACCCTTAAAAATGCTGTTTTATTTTAACTTTAAATACATCTAAATTAGTGATAGACTGAAACTTGTCTACAGCCTTTGGCCTCTGAAGGTAAACGCGCACTGACCTGCAGCCGTCCTACAGGGTGGTATATGTAGGCGGTCCCTATTCCTAGTGTTGCAGTTGTGCACTTCCGATCTGGTTTTAAACTTCTGACAAAGATATGGAGGTGCAAGTCCATTTAAGCATTTAAATACCATGGTAGCATCCCTAACCTCAAGTTGTTTAACAATTGGCAGCCGCTGTAACTGCTTAAGAATAGGTGTAACATGATCAAATTTCCTCGTTCCAGAAACTATCCGGGCTGCAAAATTTTGCACTGTCTGTAATAGCTCGATGTTTTTCTTGATGGTATTAGCCCATACTGATGAACAATACAATAATTTACTGAATGCGAGAGAATTAATTATAGTGATCAACGTACGCCTATCAAACAGGTATTTTACGCGATTTATTTGACAAAGGCTACCTATGCATTTCGAAGTTAATTGAGTTACATGTTCATCATACGTTAAATTACAGTCCATTGTAACCCCCAGGTTTTTCGCAGACTTAGATGATGTAATCTCCTTGCTGAGTAATGTAATGCTTAGATTATTTGGTATCTTCATCAGCAACTGCGGAGTCCCCAGAACCAGAAGTTTTGTTTTGTCCGGGTTAATGAGTAGACTGTTTTTACAACACCATGTGGCTATGTTCCAAAGATCTTCTGTCAGCTGAGCTGTGGCTAAGGCGGCATCACGTACAGGAAATGAGAGGTATAACTGTGAGTCATCAACATAGCACTCTAACGACCCTACCTTAGGTACAGATGGTAGATCGTTGATGTAGATATTAAACAATGCCGGGCCCAAAATTGATCCTTGTGGTAAACCATACGAGACTAGGCGGGGTTCAGATGTTTCGCAACCGATTCACACCGACTGTTTTCTTCTGGTCAAGTAGCTTCTAAACCATTCTATTGCTTCTTTAGAGGTACCCATTGCACGTAGCTTCTTTAACAAGGACATGTGATCAATACTGTTAATGCCTTGGAAAGATCTAATAACACCAAGGCAGTGACTTGCTTGCGGTCCATTGCCTCCAAGGCTAGATCTGACATCAAAATATTGAGTGTCTCTGTCGAATGCCGTTTCGTATTCCCACTCTGGTGTCCACTGAGACAGTTTCTCCTTATTGCATATTCGGTGAATTGATTTAAGGCTACTCGTTCACATATCTTAGATAGGGCAGGTAACAACGACACAGGTCTATTCCCGTTGGCTACTTCCGGATCTCCACCATCCTTTAGAATTGGAACAATTTCAGATTCTTTCCATGGTGAGGGAAATACAGATGTCAAAAGTAAACTGTTTATGATCTCGGTCAAAATCGGGAGGATAGCCAGTAGAGCATCTTTCACGACTGCCATGTGTAATTTACCTTTCCGTAGTGCTTTATTTGAAGGAAATGACTGTACAATCCTATTGATCTCGAAAGAGGTAGCAGGCCGAAATCGAAACTCATCTTCTTCGGGTACAAAACTGACAGGGAGTTCTTGATGTAAAGTAGTTGGACCATTGACTGATGCGAGTCTTTTAGCTTCCTCTGCGGCACGTACTCCCACCTCCGTAAAGAATTCATTGAATTCCGTCGCAAGTTCTTTCATATCCCTAGAATAAGCTGGGCGCGACTTCTCCCTAGTTGGTATGCAATTTCGTATCACCTTCCACTGTTCACTAGAGCTCTGATTGTTTTTAACCTCATTCTGGACATACTCCTTCTCCGCTTCGCGTAATACCCTCTTAACGTCATTACGACAGTCCTGATAATACTGCCAATCTACCCGTCTCTCGGGCGGTTTTATAAGCTTGATCTTTTCTTGCCATTTTCTCTTTGATCTCTTCATTTATAAATGGACCTCTCTGATGTTTGATTTTAATTTTCTTAGTAGATGCATGATTATCCAGAACCCGGAAAAAGGCTTTATTGAAATGAAGCAGTTTGTCATTTACATCGTCAGACAAAATGTTTTCATACCAAGGGATCTTGTTCTAATGATCTGGGCTCTATAGCAATTGGAGTCGCCATGGCAACGTAACGACGCCAATACGTTTTTTAATTATCTTTGTGTTTCTCTCTACTAGGAGTTTTTTTGAGAAATCGCTTAAGGGAGTTCATACCTGCCATAATTGCCTCAGTTATGGCAAAGTTTGAGCAAATTCTATGAGAGCGGTTTCGAAATATTTTGAAACGAAGTTTTAAGAGGCCCTGACTGTAAGTATCGAGAATACGCTGACAGTTGCAAAATTTCGTAATTTATTTTATTCCACCCAAGAGACCCTTTTGGTGAACTATTTTGAAAAATGAAATGAAAAAGTTCCATCGCGCTTTGCTTTTTCCGAAAAATCCAAAAGTTCAAAGTACGCTGAGGCGGCCCACGACCCCCAAGAAAAACAATGAAAAATTGTGCAACTTTGGCAACTTCGTACGTGACAATGCTTTGAATTCCCGGTTTCTTCTTTTGTATATTGGTAAAAGGACCCTTTGTCTTTTAAAAAATGTAAAATTCATGCAATTCCGTTATGTTTAAGTCAGCATAATGATCCGTTGAAGTAACGTATTTTGCATCTTTTCGGTTGAGGTGAAAAATAGGTCTTTAAAGGCCTATAAAATTCCTAGTATATATATTTTCATGTTATATTGTACATCAGGTTAAAGCTTTAGTCTTGTAGTTTGTTCCTTCCAATTGTCGTTTTTGGCCCGACAAAAACGGCGCATCTAGTTGGAAAAGAGTTCGGGCTATTTTGAGCAAAAATTCAATGCGAGCCGCCGAGCGGCTGTCACGCAAGAGGCATATATGAGTTTGGCAAATAGTGTATTTTTTTCTCTTTCGATAGAAAATGTTCGCAAACAACGCCTTGAAGTGCTTAACTGACCTTTTCATTACATTTCAACGCATTCAAGCATGCCCAATATCATTTCATTCCTAGCATATCTTAGAGACCTAACCGAACAATAACACTACGGCTATATTTTGTGGTCTGCCTAGTCTAAATAAATTTACATAAATTTTGGTTCACGCATACAGCGAAACTCACAAAGTTGGTATTACGCTTGTTTTAAAATAACGCGATGTAGACCCAGGAGCTCCCTGTCTTTCTCAACTATTCGACGAAAGGATAAACAAAACAAATTCAAAATAATGATTAGGGATGACGACGTGAGTGACAGTTCTCTTCGTCCTTGCAGTCCTAGCTTTCGGTAAATTCGTTCATACTTTAAAACGCTAACAACGGGACCGTTTGTGTCTTAAATCCCTTTTCTTGCCTAAAAATAAATAAGAGAAGGAACAGAAGAAGAAGTAAAAGAAAGAGTGAAGGAAGATTCAAGACCATTTTGACAAAAAATTGTACAAATGTCACGCAAAAGGATAGGGTTGCAGTGACAACATTATCCTCTGGTTGTTGTAAGGATCTTTCTTCTCTCAACGTTTTAAGCAGGATGTTACGGTTTAGGATTCTCTTTTTAAAAACACCAACACTGTTACCAAATCGCGTCGAGTAACATTACTGTATTATTATTATTACAAAAATGTCAAATTTGATTTGTGTGATAACATCAATGACGTAATGCAACGATCCTGCCAGGCAGCGCAATACTTTGGCGCGGCTGATAATCTGTACAGCTCTGGAGGCCACGTTTTCCTTGTGGAGCCATGAAATTGCTTTTGAAAGCATAACAACATTTTTTTCACTGTTCGTATGAATGGAATCTTGTAGTTATTCTTCTCTATTGAACGAGGATTCAACAGCATGTGGAGCAAGCTGGAAAAACCCTGAGGATTTTCAGTGTGTCACCCTCCGAGATTGCAACAAAGATGTTTCCTCTCATTTGCGATTATGCAACGTAGTGGATTACAGAGTTGAAAGCGAATTCCAATTATTGCTTGCAAGGGCAGGTACTGTTAAGATCAGTTCTTATTACTATCCTCCACTTCTCCGTCAGTATTTGATTCCGTTTTGTTTTTGATAACCTGCGTACAGCCCCCCTTCCCTCACAAACAAATCTCCCATATTTTGTGAGAGGGGAGGGAGAGGCTGTACACAGGCTACTTTTGACTTTGCGCTATTTTCCACTACTTAGGAGTGTTTAGTAGCGAAGAAACTCACGCATCGGTGACGGTTTGTCCACGGCATCGAAAGACATATGGAGTTGGCTGGAGGACAGGAAAGACCAGATGTTCAGTTCCAACCGAGATCGCAGGACATAAGTCCTCTAGAGCCAAAGGTGACCGTGGAATCAGTAGCAGCGAGTCAGCTTTCGTCCTTTCAACAGTAAAAACGTTTCTTCCAGTCGGAACACGTGAGTAAATCCTTTTCAAACTATACCCGGGTACATCGGCTCTGTTGAATAACAAATAGAAGCCCGCGGGATACTACAGAATGATTTCGAGTGACTGTCAGACGGTCTAACCGTCTGTGACTGGAGATTGTGGCTCAGGCTAGGCCGAGTGATTATCCAAACATTTTTGTAGGGTTTGAAATATACGATTCCAGGTTTTTTTTTGCGGTGGGGGAACACTTGGAAACTTTTTTTTTCATTTTTTTGCTGAAAATAACCATGCTATGCCTGTTTATCTCGACCGCGTCTGGTTTGTGCTATGGCAATTAATCCTTTCTGGCTCAGAAATTCAGAAATTCAGCATTAGATTTATGGCTTTCATTTTGCTATCAATTGATCATCCCCGTCGATTGAAATCCGGAATAGAAGTTGTTCACGTCAATCCTGCAAAGAAATCCCCACAAATAGATATTCAAGACCAAAGGATCTTGAAGATAAAAATTCTTTGATCAATGGCATGTGCGCGAAAACTCAATGAGAATAGAGGCGCGGAAGAGTTTACTTCGAGGGAGCTATCCTCTTCGATCGGCCGAGAGAAAGCGCCTGCGTGCCAGCGACCCCACCGAATCATCTTGCGTCTCTCTTTCTGTTGCTCTATTTCCTCTCTCCTCCGAAGAGGTCTCGTTGAGTCGTGGGTAGGTTGGGAGAGGAAAATGGGAGTTTCTGATTATAGCTAAATAAATGTTTATGGAGTAACCAGCGGTACACCTCGCTGCATTCGTCGTAGGTGCTCACGAAGTGACCTTATTGGCTCTCAGTGACACATCCTCTTTCTCTCTGTTCCTTTTCCTCATGAATTAGCCTCTCCCTATATCATTATTGAGCTTAAATACGGGCCCATACCCAATTCTTTTCAGCACCTTAACATGTATTTCTCATTTCTTTATTTTTGTGTAAAAGATGCAGAGGAAACTTAACTGAGTTTATGGCCGACTTTTCTTTGGAGCCAACCCTTATGGAAACCCCTTGTTCAGGGGAGCCTCCGTTCACCTCGGTCGAGTCAGAGGTCACGCCCTCCGAGATACCCAGCTCCGAGGGAAGTGAAAAAGAGCAGGATGAACAGGTAAAAATATTAATATAATTAAAAAATATAATAGTTCTGAATAAATTAATCTGGAAATATTTAGTCTATATTTATAACCTATTCTGAAAACTCCTTAAAACGAGAGAATGTGGCTGAAAGTTACGCGAATCCTACTCACCTCTGTAATAAGCGTACTTAATAACTACATTGAGAAACATACCTCCCCAAATGAAACGTAAAAAAATCAATCAAACACAAACAAATGAGATAAGCAAAAACAAAACAAATTAAAGTGTATTCCTAGCGTTATTCATTTTTTACTTTAATTATTTAAAAACCTATCTCACCTTTCCTTGTTTTGTTTCAGGAAAGTAAAAAAAACCACCACCCCAGAGAGGCTGGTAGCAGGCATTCAGAAACTTCAAATTGCAGATGAAAGTTATATTCTATCCTCCGAGACTGCAAGCACAACATCATCTAGTGAAGAGGATGCAAAATATCAGCTTCAAAAAGCCAAGCTGAATGCTTTTTTAGAAGAATGCAATGTCGAACCTCTTGTCAGACGTTGGAAAGACTGGAGCGAAGCAAACGAACGTTCACCAGTACGATATGTTAGGCGTTCATCTGAGATAGTCAAGTCGTTTTTGTCTGTTGTATACCCCGAAAACTGCGTCCACTTGTGGAAGGAGATAGAAGTATCCTCTGCAATGGATAAGCTGATGGGTACCGATTCTTTGCAGCTTTCTTCCGACAACAGCTACCTTGAAGCCTTATCTGAGGCATATCAGAATGCAGCAAGTTGAAACACCCGCCGGCAAGTCTTGTCGATCATGACTGGGGTGGCCAGTTATAGAGATATCTCAAGGTGCATCCTTGGACTCACCCAATACAGGTACACTATTGCCAATCTTCACCGTCTTCAGCATGGACGAGCAGCTCCGTTGCCAACACAACAGCGCCAGGTGCCGCTGCTAAAAATTGACAGGAAGCAGCTAGATCACTTTCTCGCTTACATCACCAGCCCTCATTTAGTACAGGACCTGCCATTTGGGGAGAACACACACAAACTATCATCTGGTCGAGTCTTGCAAGTTCCAAACGTCATTAGAATGACGATACCTCAGCGTATTACAAAGAAGTACATACAGTAGTGCTCAGAGAGTGGTTTTGTACCATTTAGTGAGCGGACAATGTTTTGTATCTTATCAGAATGCAGTGCGTCAGTGCGCAAGTCCCTTCAAGGATTAGATTACATTGAAGCTGAAGGCACAAAGGCATTTGATAACCTGTCCGACCTCGTTAAACAGACCTGTAATTATGGTGACCCGGAGACAGTATTACAGGAGAATCTAAAAGCTGGAAAGTTATACCTTAAAGGCGACTTCAAGGTAATAAATGTTGGTAACTGATTAGAGCATTGATTATCGAAGGATGCCAAACGTAACCACTTATTTTTACAAAGAAAGCTCGGAATTTTCAACATTAGATAATTTCTTACATCTACGGAACATGAAAAAGAAGCACCTGTTGCATTAGGGAATCTCCATATGAAATCGATATCAATTTTACCTTATTTATACATGTGAATATATTTACCTGTGTTAAACTGGTATAGTCAAGAAAAATTCTTAACGTAAGACAATAGTTACTCATATACCGTTTTATGTTCAAATGTGAACACAAAATAGAGTTTATTGGACAGCCCTTTTTTTAAATGGTTTCTTCTTTTATTATTGTTTACAGGTTCATGTGAGTGAAAATTCACATGTAGCAAAACAGAATCGGAATTTAAGCAGCAGTGTGATCATGACCATGACGAGAGGTGTGAGGAATGCGAAGCTATAGAATCAACACTGAGAGATATTGAGCGACTGGTGTCAGACGCATCTTACCCCAGTGGAGATGATCGTGACGAAGCGCTCTATCTATTTCAGACAGCACAGCGTGCCATTCATACCTGGAAGTGCCATCAGTTAAGGACTGTTCGACAGGACCAAGCCAGATTGGATGTTATCGACCTCCTGGATGAGAAGACTGTACTAATTGTAAACGACTGGGCCATGAAATTCCTTCCTCAGATGTATCGTGAATCGCAAACAGATTGGTACGCAAAGAGGGGAATTTCATGGCACATTTCTGTTGTCTATCGCAGGTTCCTTGGTGAGCTACAATCGCAAACATTCATCCACATCATACAGTACTGCAACCAAGACAGCTCTGCAGTCATCTCTATCATTCAGCACGTTCTCCATGCCCTATCCACTGAGCACCCTAACATCAAGAAGGCCTTCCTTCGCCAAGACAATGCTGGCTGCTCTCTTGGTACTCAAGAGAAGTATTTCCTGGATATGAGTTTTGGTTCTGTTTGTGGTGATGTTAGAGTTGAAGGTATCCTAGATGCAAATGAAGATGAAGAGTTCGACAACCTTCTCATTGTATGCAAAAGAGAGATGACGGAGAGAGAATTGGAGGTTCGCCCTGATACAGAACCCTCCCTCTACAACTGGATCCTGAAACATGCTGAGCTAATGCAGAAATCTATGATACTAGGAGTGAGACGTGCTGCCAGTTTAAGCCTTGGAGACAGTTGCTCATCAAACGATGCTGAGAGTAACAACCACGCGTTCAAAAGTGCCGCTGACCATGAAAAAGCGTCAAGACATAATCTGAGCCGTCTTGAAAAGTGGAGTATCGATTTAAAGTAATTTACTCAAACCTTGAGCTTGTTGATGGTAGGTGGTTCCAGATGTCCAAAGAACAGAGAATGCGACATCTAAACGAAGTGATGAATACTCCTGTGACACGCAGCGAAGGAAGGAACCCTGAACATCATCTTTCAATCGGTTATACTTCTGCACGACCAACGATGTTAGCTGCAATTTGATGTAAAGCCAAGGAGCATCTCTTAACTCTAGGAAGCATTTCTGTACTCCCCTCACATGATGACGTAGGAGCCCAGGCCTCATATCCAGCGAAGCGCTTTGCAGTTTACAGCGCGTCACATCCTGACAGCCCAAATGTAGTAAAGCTGTACGATGATGGTTCCATGCAATGTCTTTGCATAATGTTTAAATCAAGCACCAATTTATGTTCCCATTCAGTTGCTGTTGCCCAGAAAAAAAACGTCTTGTCAATTTACCTTGCCTGGAAGAGCACAAGTGACAGTGACTGTAACCCGTAGCATTTGGCAATCAAAAATGTTAATGTCCGAGCCTCTGGTCAGAAAGTTGGGAAAGAAAGGCGCAACAGAAAAACCCAGAATGATCCACAACCGTCATTTACCGTAACTAACCAGGACAACTATTGCTTGCTGCCATGGGAACAAACCAATCTGCAGCAAACGTGTCAGGCAGTAGAACATTGGAAGCCACTAACTGGCAACCAACTGTTGGAGGTCACTCACCAATATTGTCAGTACCATTAGAGTCCGTTTGTTGGTTCATTAAGTTCCTTCACACCAGCCAGTTACAATATGAAGGCAACATCTCCATTCAAGAGCCAACCAGCGATGCCGCCACCCGGCGTGTTTGTTGTGCCATATTTGCCATGGCATAATAACCATTTTTTTATGTCAATAAATGGAAGAATCAAGAAGTCCGCCGGCTGCAGAAGAGAGTTTTCCGACCCTTTTGACCCAATATTTGTGGAACTAGTGGTACAGCATGTCGAGCGCGATTATTGCAATGACAAGAACCGATTCCGCCAAATTGGGAATGAGCAGGCTTGATATTACCATCCCTTAAGAGCATGCCTTATGCCCCGGCACCAAAATTTCAATTCAGCCATGATCCAACTTCATCCAGAAGTCCTAGTAATGATCTGCAAACAAGTCAGTTACATCAGGATCTCGGCATCGACGTCAGTTTTGCATTTTAAATTTAAGGACGAGAACTTGCAGCTCTGTGACCAGCCACGCCCTAGAGTAAGAGTAGCGGTATGTTTCTTTAAATTGCGTCTTCTAAGGTGGCTGTCAAAACTGACCCTGATGTTCTAGTTTCCTATTCTATACTGTATTAGATTACACTTGTATCAGGATTCCCTCGGTTCATACAGTTTGTAGTTTTGGCCGACACTCTAGCGGCAGGCGCGGGTAGTGGATGGTCTGAAATGTCAGCCGTCCCCACTCTCTAACCCGTGGGGGCGTGAGAAGAGTCTCTTTCGCTTATTATTTGTGGTGGAAAGTAAAGTTTTCTATCTCTATTTTGCTTTGATTACCATCTTTTGCAGAGACCGTGGCTTTCTACAACAGAATATCGCTGGCAAAGCGTACTGTGGGCGCTTATTTTTCTAAATTGTCTTCTCATTTAAATTCATCATTCTGGGAGTACGGACTCTAATTTTTCACATCTTCATTCTTCCCAACAAAAAAAAGATTAAATTGATTCAGAGTGTGCCAGTTTAGTCTTTGTTTTCCCCCAGCGCACAGAGGTATTTCTACTAAGAAATGCGCTTAATTGTGGCAATAAGAAAGAAAATTTGTCGCTTACCTTCCTCCATGGTTGCTCCTCGTAGCCGTGAGAAAATAAGAGCCGAGGTCAGGTGACTTTTTCGGCGCAAAAATACCTTCGACTTTGCTGGAGGGAGGGGAAGGGAGAGGAAGTTGACATCGTTGCAATACACGTATTTTTCGAGATAGGTTTAATAAGGTCTTCATTAGGATTTTACAACCATTCTTATGTTTTTTCTTTCATTAAGATTTATTTTTTTAACCTTTTGAATTTTTAACCCGTTACTCATGACTGCGTTGCTCTGTTTAGTAACACCCCTCGAACTTGTTTACTTCGATTTCTGGCCATTCGGACTTGAAAGGCGAGTATATTCTCTCAAGGAATTTGTCATATTTCTTTCATTGAAGGATCGTGCTATGGAATCCTTTTCGTCTTTATTCATGAAGATCGGAGACGATACAGCCGGAGGGCGTAAGTACCTTCTCGACAACAACATTGTCCATCGTGACTTAAAGCCCCGAAACATCCTCATCTCTAACCAGATGTATTGCGACAGATTGACGGACAAAGAAGCTACAAGGAAGGCGTGGGAGAAAGAGCCAATTATTTGTAAACTTGTTGACTTTGGCAAGAGTAGAATTGAGATCATCCAAACTGCCACAGTTAGCTCCGCGCAAACAACGAACATTGACAGAGGAACATCTGTCTACATGGCTCCCGAATAGTTTTCTCCTGCGGGTACTTCGTTGTCTCTGGGGCAATTAAAAGTGTGCGATAGAGTAAAAACCCGCGTATAAGAACCTAATATTTAAGAACCTGTTAGGCTAAAACTTCATTTTTAAGCACCCTTCACATAAGAACCATTTTAGGCTAAAATCCTAAAACAGGTTCTTATTTTCAAAAAAATATATATATATAGAATTAAGAAATTTTCTCAAAAAATATATATATATAACACAGTCTGTATGCAATAATACTCTAAACACTATAGTATGGTTACATAAAACTTGCCCTCCTTGAATATAATTATTAAACAGAGATGAATAGGATGAACCTTTGGTTTTTATGAAATCACAGTACATGAATTAAAAGATAAATCTGTACCCATGTAGAGCAAAAGCATCTTCCAGAATGGCAATTAAAAGTTTCCATTAATTCACATGCATGGGATGGTGTGCTGGTGGGATGGTTTCTAGTAGTGACTGTATAACACTGAGTTCCATGTACTCCATTAGTACCAGTAAAATATCAATAAACATACAAATTATGGGTCAATCAATGCTAATTCCAATGTTACTGCCTGATGAATCATTAATCCCAACCTGACCATCAAGTATTTACACAACCAATTTACATGGGATTCGTTGAGTTCCAATCCAAAAGTAAATACATTAAACATCACGATTCCGCAAGCGAGATGTCGCTTATGCTTAGCTCTAGTTTTTCTTTGATCTTCCTTACTAGTCTCCTGAGGTATTCTTTGTTGCCGAGAAGTCTAAAGTCCACTGGGAGTTCAAGACCTTTTCCTTGGCCAGCATTATATCTGTTCCCAATGCACTCAGCTTCGATCTCACCGTAGTCTTTAAGAAACTTGTTAAAGATTTTCGAAAGCTCTTTAGGTACATGTCCAACCATGTGTCCTGCTTCATTCTTGATCGCTACTGCATACTTATCGAAGGCATTGTCAGGCTCCCTCTCACATGTTAAAACTTCCCCAATAAACACAGTGGCATCCTTGAAATGTGCATGATAACCACGAACACTGGCTTCTATGAAAACCTGGTACTCTTGTGACATTAGTGTGCTGAATAGGTTGCTTCCAATGTATAGATATTTTGATATTTTGGCAAGCAAAGAATCGAAGAATGAGCGTGAACGAACGAGACATGAACAACTGCTGACCCTCTGAAACGCTGGTAAAGAGCACTACAGCACTGGCACTTACGTCATTTCCCATGCTTTGTTCTAAAACCGGAAATACCCGGATGGAGAGTGACAGCTCGAACTTGTTATCAGAACAAACACGCTCCACGTGAACCAGTGGGGCTTTACCCGCGAGGATTTCGAGCAATGAATCGTACCTTATTTGACTGTGGGATAAAGCGAAAAGTAGAAGCAAGAAATGGCGAACTGTTTGATATCACAGCCACATTACCAAAAACTGTTGGCCTGTCTAGCAAGCTGGTGAAATGTCACCATTGCAACGAATCCTTCGCAGGTAAGAAATATCTCAACAGCCACGTGGGATTCAAACATGCCGACAAGAGTTCGCTTCAAGAAAGGCCAAGTGAGGAGTTGCCGCAGCCTCCGATCCCTACACTGAATGTGAATGGATCAGAGGTTTCCCATGAGGAGGATGAAGTTCTTGTTGTGGAAAGCAATCCCATCGACACAAAGAAGCCTGAGAACAGACAAGGCCAGAGTAAGAGAAAATCAAACACTGTAGAGTTCAAAGTGAAAACTCTTGAACTACTGGATAACTATACGGAACTTAAGATAAGAAACAAGTGGGTTAAGGTTGCAGAGAAAAGAGGAGTCAGTAAGTGCCTGGTGGTGAAATGGAAGAAGAACAGGGATAAAATATTTGCAGAACTGCAACTCAACAAGAAAAAGCAAAACACAGGAAGTGTGAAGGCGGCAAGACAAAGAAGGCGAGAAGGCAAAGTGCAGTGAAAAATATCCACTGGCAGCCAATCGAGTTGTTCTCGAATTCAAGCTTCGAAGAGAAAAAGGCTGTAAAGTGTCAAAGCTTTGGATTAAGAAGAAAATGAAAGCCAAGATTGAGACGTACTATGGTGAAGAGGGTGCTTCTAAATTCAAGGGAAGCGATAATTGGTTTCAAAGATTCAAGAAACGCCATAATATCTCGCTCAGGCGAAGGTCAAACAAGAAAAAAGATTCAGCATATGATAGTCGAGAAACAATTCAAAGATTTCATCGCAATCTCAGAAAAGCTGTAAAGTCTAAAAGACGACGGAATAACTCAGCCTTGCACCCCAAGTATGGGCGGTGGCTCCCAGAAAACCGCTACAATATCGACCAGGTGCCCTTGCCTTTTGTCATAGACCAAGACAAAACTTATCACATTACAGGTACAAAACAAGTGTGGGTCTCCCAGCCTTCTACTGGCCTAGATAAGAGGCAGGCAACATTGCATCTTTGTATCCGAGCAGGAGGAGAGCAGAATGTAAAGCCAGCAATCATCTTTAGAGGGAAAGGTAATGTGTCTCCAGCTGAAAAGGCAATGTATGACAAGGGAGTAGATGTATACTTCCGAAAGTCTGCTTGGATGGATAGCGATTTGAACATGCAGTGGTTGTCGAGGACATTGCTACCTGCCATGTCAGACAAAACCAGTGAGAAAGTAATTTTTGCTGACAAAGTTAGTTTTCAGCAGGAGAAACAATTCCATGAGGCTTGCAGAAAAGAGGTTAATGCATCTGTTTACCTCCTGCCTGAAAATCACACTGACAAGGTGCAACCCATAGATGCGGGGATTGGAAAACTTTTCAAAACCAAAGTGGGAGAGGCAACGGAGAAGTGGCTTGAACAGGATGAAAACCTTGATTTGTGGCATGACAAAATTGGTGCTAAGGACAGACGCATTCTAATGACAAAGTGGGCTGGAGAAGCCTGGAAGGAGCTGTCAAAGGACATGGATCTGTTCACAAAATTGTTCCAAAAAACTGGCTGTTTGATAACAGCTGATGGTTCAGATGATGACAAAATCCGACCCCAAGGGCTAGATCCTTACCTTACTTAGGCTTTTTAAATGCTTTTTAAGTGCAATATTTTTGCTAGACTATATTGCCAGACATTGTATGAGATTAATCCTCTATTATATCAGTGGACATTTTTAAAGAGAAACTTTGACATTTTATCATGTTATGTTGTTGTGTATGCAAGATTTATTGACAATTATAGTGAAGGTTACAGTACCATAGGTTTGATTGTAACAGAATCAGATTAAAATAGTATAGTGTTTTGCTTACCGAAGCCTCCAAGAATACTGTTTTCGGACATTAAACACCAGATCATTTAAAAATTCAGCTTTATTTCTTGAACAAAAGTTAAGAACCTAATTAAGAACCTAGTTAGCCTAATTTTACACTAAATACCATTTACATAAGAACCTGTTTAGGCTAACTTGGAAAAACCTAGGTTCTTATACGCGGGTTTTTACTGTATGTGGTCGCACGGTATGGTTATTTTCATACTGCTAAATCCTGACCTGCAGTATCCTTATCAACTTGAAATTTATAAACTGCACCAGAAAACATACGAAATGTGCAAGAATGAGGTACTCTGCCTATTGGCCATCAAGCAATTGCCAACTTTCTCTAACAAATTCAGCCGTTTTCAAGCTACTTCGTGGTTGATACTTGAAAATGTCTTTGAGAAGTGTGCAGATTTTGATCCCACAAAGAGACCCGAAGCCTCGGGTCTGGTTGAAATGTTTCATCCAAAGGAAGGTCCAGTACGTAGAGAAATACCACTTGTTGTAAGCCAGAGTTCTGTTGTTGAGCAACACGACTACCTTGTTGCAGAGGGTGCCATTGGAATATCAAATGTCATCTCTACAGATGCAACGAACAGCTGCTCCTCCCTGTCGGTGCTGATTAATGAACGCATTTTGGTAGAAAGACAAACTGACGACCTTCTCAGCCTCAACGCTGCTTTAGATGAATGGCAGTTCTTTAGTGAGAATGTCAGTAACTTGGTGTTGACTAGGCCTGACCGCTTCAATCGCTATAGAAATATCGAGAGAATGTACGACGTAATTGAAGCATACAAAATATATTACGTAACGCCAAGATTGTTAAAGAATCGTATGAGCTGTTTGAGGAAATCATCACCGCTTCCAGCGTGTTTACCAAGAAAGGAAGAAGTTCACTCTTCATGGCCTTGGAAAAACTTGCCGAATCTAACGAAGTAATAGTTGCCATTTATACATGTGGGATTTACATATTTGTTATTGGTTGTCGATCAGGAAGACTCTTTGTGGTTGACACTTACACGATCACGCCTGAATTTGGTAGACATGGTGAGGGCCTGCTTAAAGTGTTCAGTGGAAAAGACCTCCCGTCACAAAGACATCTATGCGTATGGGTGTGGAAACGACTGGCGCTTAGTGGAGTGAAATGGAACGCCGTGCAGTCGTTTCTGATAATGGAAGAGTGCTTGAGGTATTCATTCATTATGACTATAATATCATAGGTGACAAATTACTCCTTGATTTTGGCGCGAAACTTAAGGGCTAATCTGTAATTTTACATGGGAGATAACAAAATTGCTATGGCAACGTCCCGTACGTCCGTCAGTGCCAAGATGGTAGCCTGCATAACAAGCTCTCCACTCGCATCTCCTTTTACGCGATGCTACAAATGGCTGTGTGGTGGCCTAGCATGAGCCGTTGACGTACATTTGAAAGTTCCGCAAACCCGGTTTTGAGAAGTTAACACAACAAAGTGAATATTGCCGCTTTTGTACGTTTTCCACCATACTAACAGTTACGAACATGGGAAACTAAGATTTAGACAAAAACAACCGCGAATAAAGCAGCTCATGCATAGATACGGAATCCATCGAGGCAGCCCAAGATGGCGCCTACATCAAAATGACGCTAACAGAATGTCGAAGTTTCTTATTAAGACTTACATATCGAAGACAACACTAAAATCCGTGAAGAACGAATTCTTACTGCGCTTTTCACAAACATGCGAATTCTTAAGTTCAAAAGCCAACTGATGATTGCGTTTTTCGCTGCCGTCAATCATCTTAACGGACCTCTTAGGAAACAAAACTTTACTTTAACGGATTCAAAAGGTCAAGGTTTGTGATTTGTGATTGGTGGATTTCGATCCGTTTTGTGTGTTTCAAGGTTCGTTGCTTGTGATCGTAGTTATGATTGACGCCAGCGAAAAACGCAATTGTGAAGGCGGCTTTTGAACTTTAGAGTTCGCATGTTTGTGAAAAGCGCAGTAATCTGGAGGCTAGACTTGATGAAGCTCAAGTTGAAATACAAGCCTTAAAGAAACAACGCCGTGAAGTCAATAAGACAGTGAACAACACAAAAGGGTCCCTTGAGTTCACCCACCCATAGTCGTCGATCGAATCTAATTTTCTACAGAGTCAATGAGTCCAAAGACAAGGATTGTTTCTCGCTGGTACGTGACGTCTTAACCCGAAATTTAAACCTGCCACAGGACGAAGCCTCGAATATGAAGCTTTGCGGGGCACACTGTCTTGGCAAGCCAAACAGAAACAGAGCCTGACCTCTCATTGCTCGCTTCACGTGTCGTGCTGACAGAGATTGCGTCTGGAAGGCTCGCTACAGGCTGAAAAACTCACGTATTTCAATGGGTGAAGACCTACCGAGGCAGATACAAGAAATCAGGAAAAACGTTCTTATCCCGGCGATGAAGAAGATAAAACAAGAAACACCTAGCCACAAAGCTACCGTCGTAGGAGATAAGTTAGTTGTTAATGGAAAGTTTATTTTCATTATGACGTGCCGAAGAAATGGCTCCCTGTCAACTCTTCAGTGAATACCCCGGTGGATTATGGCAATGGTACAGCCGAACAACAAGAACCATTGCAAAGTCAAGAAGAATCCTCTGCTGCTATGGTCCAATCCCAAGAACTGCTTGGTCAAAGTGAGTAGGTGACGCTTTTTCTGTAAGTCCAATCCTTTCACAGAACTTTAAAATTAACTCTTAGTTGTTTCGTGCCTTTAAAATCAAGCCTTTAAAATCAAGCTCTATTTTTGTGTTTCCAAATACGAGGACTTTCAACCCTCAAATGGAACTCGCTATTTTCATTCTTCTCTTACGGGTCACCAAATTTTCCCCTTTAATGAAAAATCTGTTTATTTTACATTGAGAGTCAAAGTCGATGTTATTGCGGATGCTGTTTACGCTCCATTTATGCTACCCTCTCAAGTATGCCAAACCACTTTCATGGGGTGCGTTAGAAGGCATTTTTCAGCGCCTTTTTTATTTTTCTGTTTATGTCTCTTAAGTAATGTTTGTCTAAGTCCTTTGATAATTTATTATATTTCTGCTAGTTATGTTCTGTTTTCAGCCAGTATGTTAATACTCATTTTTGTTGTGTGGGCTTTGTTAAGCTTAAGCTACATATTTACGTTTTTGCTTGTTCATTATACAGAGCTCCGTTTACGCCTTGTGTATCAGTTCACTTCCTATTGCGAACACCTTTCACTTGTCCAAACGCTTTCGCTAACGAATTAGTGATTTGTTCTTTAAACGCGAGGGGACTGTCTAACCCCATGGAAAGGCGTGAAATATTTCGATGGCTGAAAACTAAAAAGTACGCAATATTCTTTCTAAAAGAAGTCCATTGTTCGAAGGACAACGAAATATGCTGGACCTCAGAATGGGGGTATTCAGCTATATTTACTAGCCTCTCCAGAGCTAGCGCCGGAGTGAGCAGGCTTTCAAACGGACCATTCACCCATAACATTACACCTAACAAATAACACAAACCCTAGGGGACCAGGTTTTTGGAAGTTGAATACCTCTTTCTTGTCGGATGAAGAGTATATAGGTTTAATTAAGAAGACAGTTAAGGAAGTAGCAAATGAATACAAAAACAACAATGAGATGGATGCCACTCTCCTATGGGATACCATGAAAATGAAAATTCGATCAAGCTCAGTCTCTCGCAAAAAAGGAACACTAAAATGAAATCCCAGAAAAATCGTTTAGAAAACGACATTGCATCCCTTGAAAAAAGACTAGATGAGGACAATTTATCGGAAACAGAAAAGAATCAAATACTTGACGAGCTGGCCGCTAGGAAACTACAAAGAGAAGAAATGTCTATTCACAAAACAAAAGGCGCGATTATGCGATCGAAAGCCCGTTGGTACAACGACGGAAAAAAAATATGAAATATTTTCTAAATCTTGAAAAACGACACTTAAATAAAAAAAACTATCAAAAGTTTACAGATAATAGTGTCGTTAAAAAAAATGACGAAATCTTAAGGGAGGCAAAATCTTTTTACCAAAAACTCTATACTTCAACTGTCGCACCAAAGAATGATCTTTATGTTGACCTATTCTTCCCAGAGGGTAATACCCTCAGACTCAATGAATTGGAACAACAGGAATGCAGAGGGCGTTTAACGGAAACCGAATGCTGGGAAAGTCTAAAATCAATGCAATCGAATAAAAGCCCGGGTACTAATGAACCACCAGCCGAGTTTTATAAACTGTTCTGGAAGGAAATTCACCCCTACCTTTTGAATGCTTCAAAATATGCGCATAGGAACGGCCTCCTTCTAATACAAAAAAGAATAGAGCTGCAAAACTCTTAAAAAATTGGCGGCCAATTACTCTTCTCAATCGCGACTACAAAATTGCCTCTAAATGCATCGCAAGCCGAATACAAAAGTTTTTGTCACGGCTAATTGATAACGATCAAACTGGGTTTTTAAAAAACAGGTTCATTGGCGAAAACATACGACTTGTAGACAGTGTAATAAATTATGCTAACATAATTCCAGGTCTGTTACTATTTATTGACTTCGAGAAGGCTTTTGATAGTCTAGAATGGTCATTCATCGAGAAAACCCTAAATTATTACAATTTTGGAAGTTCATTGGTTGCGTGGATTAAGCTCTTTTACACCGATATCAGCAGCTGTGTTCAGAACAATGGATGGACCTTTGACTTTTTGTCTTTAAGCCACGGAGTAAGGCAAGGATGCCCACTGTCCCCTTATCTTTATTTTGTGTGCCAAGGTATTAGGAAATTCCGTCAGAAATGATACTAGGATACAAGGAATCAAAATCCTTGACACTGAATGTAAAATATCACAATACGCTGATGATACCACTTTCATCTCAGATGGATCTCAGTCCTCTTTTTCTAGATCTTTATACCTCGTAGACACTTTCACCCTGATCTCGGGTCTTGAAGTCAATTACGAAAAAACTGAAGCCCTATGAATTGGCTCCTGTAGAGGTTCAGAAATGTTCCTTCCTTCCTCGAAACCACTATCATGGGCCAAAGATAAGGTGTATGCATTGAGAGTATGTTTTTCGACTTTGGAAGATATATACTCCCGTACTTGTCAGCTTTTTGTAAAAGAATAGATAGACTCCAAAGTATTCTAAATAGTTGGTCGGCGAGAAGACTGACTCTCTTGGGCAAAATCACCATAATATAATCTCCAGTCGTGTCTCAATAGTCTATCTGTTGTCATCCCTACCATCGTACCAAAAAATAGTTCATGAAATAAATTCGATGTTATGTGATTTCCTGTGGGATAGCAAAGGCGACAAAATTGAGCGAACAGAAATCATTAATGACTGTGATAAAGGCGGACTAAAGATGATTGATATACAAAGTTTTAATGCATCATTGAAAACGAAATGGGTTCAAAGATACCTCAACACAGAGAACAAAGGTAAATGGAAAGCTTTTTTCCATTACTACTTGGAGAGATACGATGGGAAATTATTGTTCTTGTGCAATTTAAAACAAAAAGATGCATCACAGCTGAAAATAAGACCCTTTTTTTGAAAGAAATTGTAGAGCACTGGTTCAACTTAAATTATAGTGAGAAGAACCCAGTTTTCGAGTCAACATGTATCTGGTATAACTCACTGATTACAATCGAGATGCAACCTTTTTTTTACAAATCATGGTCAATCTCATGAACTGCGCATGTGCGGGCCGAAGCTCAAAACTTGAAAAATTCTGCAGAATTTTTCAAGATTGTCCCGGCTAAAAAAAGATGGCGGCTGCAAATGGCAGATGCGGCCATGGCGGTAAACGAAGGAACTCGGGTCGCAAAAAAACGATTTCCGACCTGAAACAGTGCAAAAGAGAGTGGTTTAAAAACCTTCAACGTACTTTCCTCGAAATAATATATTTCAGTCGTGGCTTACAGCGAAATTCGAGGCAGGATGTGAATGTTCTAGTGACAGCGATTTCGCGGCACGTTCGTCATCTCTTGAATATCGGAGAAGGTAAGTCTTGCTTTTCTTTGCCTGATGATTTAACCGTTAAAGATTATTTTGTCATTGAGTCATATTTATGACACTTACACGAAAACAGGCAAAAGATGAAAGTGAAGCCAAGGTGCGAAGATGCTTATTATGTTTCAGTGATATGTTTCGTGTTGGTTAGCATTGTTGTTTTTTTTTCCTTTGAATGTTGATTATCGATAAAAACATATTTTCCTTAAAGGGCCACAAACGCAGATTACAGGGGACCAGTGAAATAAGAGGTTTAAAACGGTGCATATCTACTCCCGCAGACCTACATCTGTAGACTCCAGTTAAACCTTTGGGTCAGCCCTCGCATTCTGTTGTCGAGTCTCTGGACAGCCATTATTGCTGATAGTTTGCTTAGCACTTCTGAGGTATGGAGTCAGTCTCCCATTCGAGATATTGGTGGCGTAGATGGTGAGAGCAATAAAGCAGCAATGTATGTTGCATTTACGAATACGTGCATTGGTTACAATATGAATTATAAAGGTATCTCACTTACAGTTTGTTGTCTTTATTTACATATCACAGGCAACAATCCCATCTGATTTCTTTCTCTTATAGTTTGAACTCGTCTTTATTTTCTCACGATGAGAATATATGTTCTGATTCAGAAGAGTCTACCTATTAATACTTGACAGTATATATGTCGTAGTTATATTTTTATCTCAGATAATTTTTGTTTCTCTTTAGTTCTTGAGTATAGTAATGAATGCTATGAAGTTCAAACAAAAGAAAAAGAAAAATTACCTGAGATAGCAAATTAACAACAACATATATATATATTTAGTATATACACACTCAGTGATCTTGGTAATTCAAGCAATCTGATTGGTTAGCTATCTCGGACTATGACGTTATATTCACCGCGCTAGGCGGTGAAAATAAAGCCGAACAAAATCGCTGTCGTGAACTGGGTGTTTTGCCAAAGTTTCAAATTAAAACCTTTTTGAAAATACAGGAATATCCAAGTGCTGATGACTTTGAAGGCAAGAAAACACTTCATGGTGTTTAAACAGCGTGATTTATTGTGAATTGGTTTACTTCAGCTGACTTTTTGTGCGTTCGAAGCTATGTTTACCACTACAGAGGAAAACGAGGTCGCTTTGTCACTGTTTTGTGATTTCGGGATTTTCCCGCAAGACCAATTTTGCCTATAAATAGAAGTTAATTTATGGAGAAGAGAGGAAGGCAAATATTTTCGAAAATTGTACGTGCTAGCAAGTTAACAAGGCAAAGAACTTTGGCGATAATCAACGCTCACCTTGATCGCAGCCGCTGTTGAGAGCATTTGCAAGAAGCGACGAAGAAAACTTTCTCAATCACGGTGAGTTGACAGAAACAAATAAAGCTCTAGATACTTTTCTTCTCAGAATTGGGTAGTAATTTAAATTTTCGGCGTTTTCTTTTAAACCGTTGATGCTAAAGCTTACAAAACTCGATACAAAAGGATTAAAACTATCATTTGCCATGTCTGAAGATACTGTAAAGATCTAACTTTTACGCATCCACTGTTTACGGCTTCGTGTTCACGCATGAATTTTCACCCGTCAATCAAACTAATCGTTTTTTAATGGTTTCCTTTCTGACTCTGTTGAGATCACTTCGTGTGAACATACTAAAACAATTATTCACCTCAGGCTCAGTTAATATTGCTGAATATTATTGTTTTATTCAGCAATATTAACTTCGCCTTCGGCGAATAATTGTTAAATATTCCATCAGATATTGGATAAACATAACAGTCTATCTATGATTGCACTTGAGTTTTCATTACTGCATGTCAGGTTTTTACAAGTAATCTCTTCCTTCTAACAAACACTTTGTTCCCAGGGTGATTTCTAAACCGGGAGTAAAAGGTCTATTGGTGGGGTACATTGCCTATGAATAGTATTATGTTATACTACAGTTGGCCATGATGTTTTGGTGCTTTTTCTCAGTAATCAAGCACTTTATAATTCTGCCATCCTTGAATAAAGACAGATCTATTGACACTGGCAGTGACACTGATTTTTATGTACAAAATTTCAGTTGCCCCACGGGCTGGGTAAGAAAAATTAGCTTCTGCCACTATCAGGGTGGTTCCTAAAGCGTTGCACGATAATATTAGGCGCATACATGCACAGGTGAAACGCCAATGCATAAAAGTGTTAACCCCCCCCCCCGCCCCTCCCTCCCCATGACCCTGCCTTTCTTCATATGCCTGGGTCAAGAGATCCACTTCTTATGGAAAAACTAGGTTCTGCTAACAAAATACGAAGTAGTGAGCTTGAATGTGATTTGCTGGGAAAAATGAACAATTTTATTTTTCCCTCTATTTTTTTTATACTTTCTAACTGCTGTTTATCTCAACAGGCACACAGGAAGTATTGAATGTGCTAATAGCCTATCCCTGCTGTAGGCATCAAAGAGCATATCTTTCAGGTAATTGCTTGTTGACTGTGCTGGTAATGAGGATGTTAATGATCATCATTATCATTGGCGCATTCTCTATTGAACTGCAGTGTTCTATTGTGGCCTTGATTTTCTGTTTAGTAGCATTTTCGTAAGTTGTGAAAATATTTTCCCACTCTCAAACTTGAATATTTTACAGTTACAGGGCCTACAGAGTAAGAAAATGCTATGAAGTGATTGACTGGAACTACCACCTTCACCTCCTCCCTGCCACAAACCCCCCAAAAAACCAGGAGAACAGATGTTCAGCTGAAAGTAATATCAGCAGACAAAGCAATGGCACATAAAGATCATAAAAGCAGACAAGGGATATGACTTTATTCCCCTCGTCATTGCTAACATATTACGTGCCAGATTACATGATCTGGATATCGTGACAAGGAATATCTCTCTAAATGCAAGCGATCCCCAACTGTGATAGTGGTCAGCGGTCAGCGAGCATGATGGCCGCGTTTTTTGTTGGTTCTGTCAACTTGACATAATTTCTCACGTTATACATAACTTTAAGGGGCACAATATTAGTTTATCTAGATGTGCCCCTCTCCTCTCCTTCAAATATACAATGTAATTCAATTTAAGTGTTGTAATTTCTATTTTACGCGTTTATTTCCTTTGTAAATCTTTATCTGTTACTATAATATTTCTCTCAGTTATATTTACATAACTATGTATCAGCTAGGAGGAATAAATAAAATTTAAAAAAAATAAATCCCCAACTGTTGGCCCCAATCCATTGCAGCCATACCACCACCTTCCACTGCAGAATTGTGCGAGTGGGAGAATCGGTTCAGTTTACCTGCACCGTCAAAAGCTGTGAACCAGAAAAAGGTGATGATCTTTAGAAAAATCGATCACCCATGGAAGACTGAGTTGTCATATTTTGAGATGCATAGAACAGAGCCCAGTCATAGTGTTATCAGACTAAGATTTATCACTTTCTTTAATTTTTATACATTTGCATTAGTCGATAATTTACAGTAAAATCTTATGACAATCAAGACATCAAGAAGAAAGAAATACTGATATTCTTCAAAGTGAAATTTTTGTACAGCATAACGAATTGTGAACAATGAGAGACATGTCTGGTACTGATATATTAATATTAATATTATAGTAAGAAAAACTGTCAATTTCAACCCCAAGACATTAGCAACTTTTAGAAAAATAGTAAGTCATCTGCTTTTGGTAAAATATGCTATGACCTACAGTGTGAACTGGAATGCATGTGTATTAATTAACTTTTTCCATGAATTAATTAACTGATCAGTCCACCCCCAACCTCCCCTATATTTTGCACGCCCAGCATCGCTGAGGAATAAACAATATATAAGGGAAC